CCATCCAGCCCTCTACCGCCTTCCCCTGCTCTGGAAGTCTAGGATTCCCTCTGATCCCTAGTGGCAGCTGCCAGCTTGGCACAGGGCATTTGAGGCCCCTTCCACCCATTTGCCCTTCCTTATTCACTCCCTGAAGGTGCTCTCCACCAAGGCCTGTTCTGTGTGATGTTGGGAACAGCAGTCCAGTGCAGAGGCAGGCCTGGGACCCAGAGTGGTCAAGGGAGAAGGGTCAGGCCAGGAGCAGGGACCCAACTTGGGGTTGTCATTATCTAAATAACAACCTAATGCATTACCTGGAGGAACTGCAGAATTAATACAAGATGGCAAGGAGGGTATAGGTTAGGCAATAATAATTTGTTCAACAAATATCTCCCAAGTCCCTAATGTCACCCATTCTACAGGGAGATGCTGATGTTACAGCTGAGGCAGAGTCATCCCTGGTGTCCAGTGTGGGGCTAGGTTTGGTGCCAGAATGAAGGATGAGGGAAGCCTAGGGATCATGAGAGCCCAGGAGAATGCCTGATGCAGTCTGGTCAGTCAAGGGAGGCTTCATGGAGGAGGAAACTCAGCTGGGACCTAAGAATGAGTAGGAGCTTGCTAGGTAGAGAGTAGAAGCAAAAGCCTATACAGTGGTTCAGGAAACCTAGAGCTTTGGAATAACAGAATGATTTTCACCTAAACTTAAGTTGTTAGCTATGATGGGAGGTACTGGGGGACCAAGTAGCAAAAACAGGGTAGATGAGTGCAGAGAGAGCGGTGGGTAGATTGAAGGGCAGGAAGGGGAGCCAGGGGCTCAGGAAGAGAGAAGGGGGTGGCTGAAGAGCAGGGAGAGGTAACTGCAAGTGTCCATGTCATCTGTGAGCACCAGGCTAGGCCCCCGGGCTCAGCGCTGCCCTCCCACAGGTCAAGGAGCTGGGCGTGGTCATGTACAACTGCAGCTGCCTGGCTCGAGATCTGACCAAGATCTTCGAGGCCTACTGGTACCTGGGCCAGGCGGGCAGCTCCATCCCATCAACCTGGCCCCGGCCCTACGACACCCGCTACAATCAAGAGACCCCAATGGAGATCTGCCTCAATGGAACTCCTGCTCTGGCCTACCTGGCGGTGAGTCGGGGAGGCGGAACCTGCCTTGCCCTGGTCCATGCTCTCATTCACAGCCTCCAAGACCAGTGAGCCATGGGGCATGGGAAGCAGGGGTTCCCTACCACTAGCCCTCACACCTGCTTGCTCTGCTTGGTCAGGGTCCTGGATATGTCCCAGCCCCTTTCGGCCTCAGTTTCCTGTGGAAAATGGATGTCAACATATAATCTCTTGGCGCTCAGAGGGAGGTGCCTTTGGTGTCTTCTTATTGCCCAATACAATGCATGTGCCTCTTCCTATATTCAATTATAATTAAATATAGTCCCCTAAAGCACAAGATGGGGTTAGGCTGCCTTCAGATGTAAGTTAGGGGAGGGAGGGAATCAGGCAGCCTGGAAGGGGGGATGTAAAGGCTAAAATAAAATAAACTTTAGCCAAAAAAAAAAAAGCAAAAATTAATGATTCAGTTCTTCAGTCATATTAGCCACACTTCCAGTGCTGGGTGGCCACATGTAGCAAGTGCTGCTAAGGGTACAGAGGTTTTATATCACTATGGAACATTCTATTGGACAGCTGCCCCTGGCAGGCATGGCCTCTAGATGAGGCACTGCTTTTAGCTGTTGACATTTTCACTCATTGGGGTGGGCAACCTAGGGCCCCACCAGTTTCCACCAAGCGAGTTACCTGGCCAAGCCCAGGAGTGTTGTGGGGGCGTAGATGCAGGGACACAGGACTCCCTGGGGGTTCTTTGCTCTAGCAGTCTCCCCCAGGGGGAGCGCTCCCCCTTTCTTCTGCAGTGAGAATAGAGAGAGCTGGGTGAAGGGCTGTGTGGCATGGGCACGGCAGGAGTGCCGTCGGTGTGGGTGGGGAGCAGTTGGGGACTAAGGGGGTCCGAGCAGAGGCTCTCAAACCTGAGCTGCATCAGAGTCACCAGGAGGGCTTGTTGGTACGCAGATTCCCGGCCTCCACCCTGATTCGTTATGCTCTGTGCCATGAGGCCCAAGGATTTATAGTTCTAAAAGCTTCCTGGCAAAGCTGTTGCTGCCGAAACAGGGACCTTATAGCAAAGGTTTGGGTTAGAGCATACATTTTGGAACCAGACAGCCTAGATTCAAATCCCGGCTCCGCTCACCAGCTGCGTGACCTCAGGCACATCACTTACCCTCTCTGAGCCTTAGTTTCCTTGCCTGCGAAATGTGAAATAAATGTAGTCATTACGGGGCTGAGGATTCACTGACACCCAGAGGACCTGGCTCATGAGCTGACCGTACACTATCCACTGTGGGGTGTCCCCAGAAGGCATGTGTCCTGACTGTCCCCTCCCCCCCATAGAGCGCACCCCCACCACTGTGTCCAAGTGGCCGCACCCCAGACCTGAAGGCCCTGCTCAATGTGGTGGACAATGCCCGGAGTTTCATCTATATCGCAGTCATGAACTACCTGCCCACCATGGAGTTCTCCCACCCGCACAGGTACCGCTGGCACGGGGACAGGGCTGGGGCAGGGAGCTGATGTGTGCAGGGGAGGAGGCAGGAGAGAAAACAGCTGGGGGCCAAGGCAAGGGGATAGGGAGGGGAAGCCATGGGAGAGGCAGAGGGGACAGGGAGGGGCACCTGGGCAAAAGATGGGGGCTAAGAATATTCAGGTTTGGGGCAGCAGGTGTGGGGTTTGTGACCTGTGATAGGAAGGGGAAATGAGTGGACTTTCGGGGAGACAGAGTAGTCTGGGCAGTAGACAGGCAGTGGACAAGACAGTTGGAAGACTGGGTTTTGGGGGCAGGAATGGGAGCCAGAAACAAGGGGCTATGGGATTTAAGGAGGCAGGACAGGATGGAGGGGCAGCGGTGGGGTGGCCCTGGGTTTGGGGGCCTTAGAAGCTGAAGCAGGGCCTGGGCCTAACTCCCTAAAGCTAAGGGTGAGATTTGTGGATAAAGCCACTCTCTGAGTCAGGTACCCCGCCCCCCGCCCTGCCAAGGTTCTGGCCCGCCATTGACGACGCGCTACGGCGGGCTGCTTATGAGCGGGGTGTCAAGGTGCGTCTGCTGATCAGCTGCTGGGGACACTCTGAGCCGTCCATGCGGGCCTTCCTGCTCTCCCTGGCGGCCCTGCGTGACAACCACACCCACTCCGACATCCAGGTGGTAAGCGTTGGCCCAGGCCACCCCTTGGCCCCAGGACTGGGGGCACAGACCTCCTGCAGCTCACTTGTCACCCGAGAATGTGACATAAGGGGTCCCACGGGTCAGGGGGGACTGAAGGACACACAGAGGGGTCATGCCCAGTATGGGGAGGCCCAGAGGAAGACTGGAAAAGGGGGTGTCTGATGTGAGACAGAAGGGACAAATAGGAGCCATTCTCGAAGTCACAGCATAGCGAGTAAGGGGACTGGGTCCTCCCTTTCGGCTGGCATTACCGAGTCCTCACTGTGCTGCCCCCTATTCTAGCCCTGAGGGTTCCGTAGGAAGCAGCCGAGTTCCCAGTCCCCAAGCAAGACCCCCACCCTGCATCTCACTCTCTCCCTACCCTCTCCTCCTTCTCAGAAACTCTTTGTGGTCCCTGCGGACGAGGCCCAGGCCCGAATCCCATACGCCCGCGTCAACCACAACAAGTACATGGTGACCGAACGTGCCACCTACATTGGTGAGTGTCCCGAGCATCACTGGGGGTACCGGGATGAGGGCAGGGGGCCCTACCATGGGCCCTGACTCTCTGCCCCCCACCCCGTAGGAACCTCCAACTGGTCTGGCAGCTACTTCACGGAGACGGCGGGCACCTCGCTGCTGGTGACACAGAATGGGCGGGGCGGCCTGCGGAGCCAGCTGGAGGCCGTTTTCCTGCGGGACTGGGACTCCGCTTACAGCCATGACCTCGACACCTCAGCCGACAGCGTGGGCAACGCCTGTCGCCTGCTCTGAGGCCCAGTCTAGTGGACAGGCCACGGCCTGCAAGGCCCCCACCAACCCAGGTGTCCTGGGTACCAGTCCCTATCCCTGTGCCCCAGCTTCTGTCTACCCCATTGTGGCTCTCCAGGCTCCCCCCTGCTCTCCCACCTCTACCTCTGCCTCCACCGGCCTGACGCTGTGGCCCTAGGACCCAGCCGAGCTGGGGGAGGGATCAGCCCCCGAAGAAGTGGGGGTGCATGCTGGGCCTGGCCCCCTGGCCCAACCCCCTCTCCAGGGCAAAGAGGGCCCAAGATTATAATAAGTAAATAACTTGTCTGTACAGCCTCTACCTGGCTGAGTCGCATGAGGTGGGGGCAGGGTGCCTGGGCCTGGGCCTCTGGTGGGGTCATGGCTGTTTGTGCGTCTGTCCTGAGCCCTCAGCGTGTGACTGCGTGCGCTGAGCCCTCAGCACACAGCCAGCGAGGGTGTCTGCACACGGCGCCCATGAGCCTGAGTGCACCAAACAAGCATCATGCAAGCTCGTGGGTCAGTATGAACCGAGCTCCTGTGGTATGCGTGGGAGCACGTTTGCCCAGCATTTTCCAGCCCAAGGAGCACACACTGAACCCGGCCGCATCCCAAGGGTGGGCTCGCATGTTGGGATGCGGACTCCTGCCCCAAGAAGCGTGAACGAACCCCTGCCAAGGGAATTTACATATCACATGGCCCAAGCACGGACGAGGGCATGCCTAGCCGGTAACTTGGCAAGTTAAGGTCAACAGACGCTGAGACCTTGACATTTTGGCCAGCTGGCACCTGCTGAGCACTGAGAATATTCTGGGGATGGATTCTCAGAGCCAAGGACTTAGTGGGGGACGGGCCAGTGTGCCAAGTGCAGCCTTTCCCTCGAAGTACCACGGCAGCCCAGCCCCCTGCCTGAGCCAGTGGCCGACCGAGCACAGTATCTCAAAGTGGGTTGCTGGTGCCAGCCTGAGCCCCACCCAGCTGCAGTCCAGAGCTCAGGCAGGGATGACAGGCATGAGCAAGACTGAACAGTTCTTTATTGAAATAGCAGAAGCAGCAGGACCAGGGTGTGCTCAGGACCAGCAGGGTGTAGCCCCCTCCTGCGCCCCTCTGATCAAGGGGGCCACGAGCCAGACTCCAAGGCCCTCCTGCAGTTTGGGGTACATGTGCAGGCAGGCGCTATGGGTTAAGGGGGAAATGGAGAAATTCTGGAAAACTCTATTTCTGTAAGAATAATCTGTGGGTTTGGGGATGGCTCTGAGGAGGGGATGCCAGCCCAGCTAGCACAGCCCCCAGTGATGGGGAAAGGTAGGGTCACCATCAATGGTGCCCGCCAACGTGCTGCAGAAAGCTGGTGGCTCGGGGTGGACCGTGCGGGTGGGCGTGGCGGGGCGGGAGGCCCTGAGCCCGTGGCCCCCTGACGCTGTCCAGGGTCCAGTCTGGCTCACTCAGCCATTCCCCGGAACAGCTGCTGGGGTCGAAGAGCTCGGGGCCTGGCCTCTGTGGGGGAGTGGAAAGAGGGCCATCAGCCAAGAAGCTCCCCACCCGGGGCACCTCCAGCCTGTGCCTCTTGGACTCCCTCGCTCAGGGCCCACCTGGCCCTCAACACATCTTGGGGGCTTAAGCAGTGTGTGCTGAGAACTTCCAGTGTCCTGAGGGTTGTTAGTGTCTCTGAGGCTGAGTCGCAGCTTCAGCCGGTGGGTGAATGAGTGCCTGGGCCCTGGGGAAACTTCCTCTAAGTGGACTGCCATGTGCTGAGTTCACAAAGTCTGAGGGTGGGTCAGCATGTGCCGAGCCTGTTCGAGTCTTAATTATATCCCGGATATGGGTTGGTGTTGCTGAGCCTTGCACGAGGCTGGGCTAGGGGGTGTTGGACCCTGGACCAGCTGCAAGCAAGGCTGTCGTCCAGGAGGCCAGGCCAGAGCCATGATGCCCCCATCCTGCAGCTCTGGGGAGGCCCTGACCTAGACCCTGCTCCCAGGCTGGGCGCCAGCCCGCCCACCTGGCTTACCTCCGCCTCCATGGCCAAGTCCTTGATGTCGGGTCCATCGCCGTCCCGCTGCGGGATGGTGGACGGCTCGGCGGAGCCCCCACAGCGCTCCCCTTCTGCCCAGCCGCTGCTCCGGCAGGGCCCATCGTCCTCGGGCGAGGCCTGGCTCAGGCGGATGAGATTGCTGAAGTTGGAGTCAGACTTGGAACCTGCAGGGGGCTTGCGGGCTTTGTGGCGGCCTGCCAGGCGGCTGCCGTAGAAGGCCAGGATGGGCTCGGGGCCTGCGTCCGGCACCCGGCGGGCAGTGGTGGCCACCTTGAGTGGAGCTAGCATGTCGGGGACTCCATCGGCCCGAGTCTCACCCCACAGCCCACGCCCCGCCTCCTGCAGACTTAGGTCATCCATCTGGTCGATGGCCCTTTGCATGCCTGGCGCCTTCTCCTCACGGAAGTAGGGCCCACTGCCCATGCCCACGGCCTCCTCTTCCTCAGCCAGACGGTAGTAGGGGGGCCCATCTTCCACAGTGGCCCCTACAGGTGTGGGGGTCTTGCCTTCCACCTGCAGCGAGAGGCGGCAGCCGCGCAATGAGAGCTGGTAGTAGCGGGTGGTCTCGTGGGCGCTGCGCAGCTGCTGCATGGACACGAAGGGGTGGCGCAGGGCCGAGCTGGGGCTGATGCGCTCATGGGACTCCCACGTTAGCATGCGCTTGATCAGCTCCACCATGCTCTTGAGGTCGGCGTGTTCAGCCAGTGCCTCACGGTCCGGGAAGGTCAGCCGGCTGGCGGCTCCCCCGCCGTTCACTGTCTCAATCTGGTCCAGCGACTTGAGCATGTATTTGCGGCGCTCTAGGGGGCGTACCTGGAGGGGCACAGTGGGCAGGGGTTGGCCCCGAGTCCAGGCCTGAGTCCTAGGCCCTCCTGCAATGGGGCACACATAGGACACCCTAGTTTCCAGTCTGCCCTCCAGTCCTGTCCAGAGCTCTCCTGTTGCTGCGAAGTCTGCACTCCTGAACCCTGAGACTTCCGGTTCTGCCCACGCTCTGACCTGAAACTTTTTTGCTGCTGGGAGGGCCACACCCGTTCCCCACCCCCCCTTCCCAGTCTCATGGGGAGCTCTCCTGCTGTGCAGGAAGGACATCCAACTGTGTTCTTGGTCCTCCTGTCAGCTAACCCAGAGCACTCACTGACCCACATTTTACAGCTTGCCTGAGACTGTCAGATGTATCCAGAGGTGGGTCGAGCAGAGTCCGTGCCTACCAGCATCTAGCAGAGGGTCTCCCCTAAACCTCCAGTCTCTTCAGAATCAAATTCAGACACCTCTTGCTGCTACAGCCCCCAGACCCGATCCCAGCCCTCAAGTCCAGATGCTCCTCGCTGCGATAGTTGGCCAACCCTCACCGTAGCGCTACCGGAGGAGCTGCCATACATTTTTCAGGCCCGCCTGTGAGCTCACCCAGACGCCTCTCGTTGCGACAGCCCCCACAGCTGGCCAGACTTCTGTCCTCTCTGCTGTCCAACCAGGCTCTTCCAGCATAGATCACTGGTCTCACCTGGGGCTGGGCTCACCTGGGGTCTCACTCAGCTCCCTCTTTCAGTTGCCACTTTCAACCCAACCCGACCTCCTTTCTTCTCTGTGGTCTAACCCAGATCCCTCATGCCTTCACGTGACCCCAAATCTAAAGCTGGCGGAGGAGATGCCTTCATTTTCCCAGTCACCTCTTGCTTACAGTTCCTACCTCCGACCCCCAGCTTCCAGTCTTCTCTGGAGTCTCACCTAACTCTGTCCTGCTGCAGCAGCTCCCAGAGTCAACCCTGCAGCTTCAGTCTCACCCAGATCTCCTGCTGTGATGCCCCCACAGCTGGCCTGCCAGCTCCCAGACCTCTCTGCAGTGTAACCGAGATGCTGTTCTGCTGCAGCGGCCCCCACACCGTCCCACCTGCTCCCTACCTTGGTCTCAGCCAGGTAGTCGGCCGAGGACTTGAGCTGCCAGGGGTTTGTGGCGTCGGGGTGGGGGTTGCGTTTGAAGAAGTGGTGAGCCTTGCGGGCAGCATGCAGCAGGTGGGGCTTGGGCAGGCCCTGGGTCTCGCAGATGTAGCGCACCTGGTCGTACTCGTTGTTGCCCGGGTACAGGGGCCAGCCCAGGTGCAGCTCGGCCATGACGCAGCCCAGCGACCACACGTCCACCTTCTCACAGAAGGGCAACCCCAGCAGGATCTCGGGGGCCCGGTAGAAGCGCGACTGGATGTAGGGCTCCTTCACGTAGCGCACCTCGCTGAAGATGCTGGCTGAGCCGAAGTCGATCACCTGTGGGGGCAGGGAGGCGTGTGGGCGGGGCAGCCAGTCCATGCCCCGGCATTTGTGGGCCTCAGTCTCTTCTGTGTGTTCTGTCTCTCTGTTGCATGTTTGTCTTTGTTTCTCACCACAGGAACTTATGCCATGAGGGGGAGGATCCCCCCTTTTCTCTCTCAACCCGCAACTTGCCCATCAGCAAATCTTGCTGGTTTTACCCTCTGCAATCCATCCACAGTCCCTGGCCTGGTCTTGCCCACCATCATCTTCCACGTAGACTAATGCAGGAGGCCTCCTCACTGGACTCTAGACCAGGGGAAAGGACCCTTCTCCCCAAGTCTGTTCTTCCAGGTACCCCCCCCCCAAGGGATCCTGTGAACACCTCGATCAGATCACTTGAGTCCCACCCCTGCTCAGAACCCTGTGGCTTGACCACATCCTGTGATAAAAGTTGAAGTCCTCACTGTGGACCTGAAGGCGCTAACAGTCTGCCGTCACCTCCTCCCACATTTCCCCTCATTCATGTTTTCCTCCAGTCACTTGGGCCTCTCACTTTTTAAATTTTTTTAAATTTATTTACAAGAACTGGGGTGCAGGCCAGAGGTGTGAGAGGATTCACCAGAGACAGAGTGGGGAGCAGAACAGGCAGACTGACTGAAATACACTGCTGAGGGGAGCAGCGGGCGAGACAGGAGAGGTGCCATGTGGGTAGCTCCCTGGCCAGGGATCAGTCATGCTGTGGTGGCTGCGGATAGTTTGACAGCACTAAGACTTTAACCCCTGCACCACCAGGGAGGCCCTCACTCTTTCTTCTTAAACAAGCCAGATGCATACCCGCCACAGGGCCTTTGCATCCACACAACTCACTTCTCTCTTCCTCTGGCCTTTACTCAGTGAGGCCTCCCTGACCAACATGTCTCAAGTTTCACTTATCACCATTCCTCTTGCCCCAGTCACCACCCCATCCTCTTCCACCTGATCTTTTCTCCACACTCGCATAACCACTTATCCTGCGAATCTGTCTCTCCTACTGGAATGTCAGCCCCACTAAGCCAGGGCTGGGTCAGAGGAGCTGAGCTAGGAATTGAACAAGGGTGGGGAGCCCCGGGGTCCGGTAGGGAGATACTGTCAGATTGGGATGGGGAGTAGGGGAGAGGCCTCATGGAAGTGAGGGCGGGGCCACCTCAGGGCTGGGAGGCCAGTCCAGGGAGACATCAGCATCCAGGGTTGGGGGGCTGTGAGAACAGGGATGCTGCTGCCCGGGGCAGCCCCACTCACCTTGACCCTGAAGGGGCAGCGGGTCTGGTCCACCAGCATGATGTTCTCGGGCTTTAGGTCGGCGTGGATGATGGCCAGCTCCTTGAGCCTGGCCAGGGCCCTGAGCACCTGCAGGGTGACCGTGCGGATGTGGCGGGCGGGGAGGGGCGCGAAGTTGTTCTCTTTCTGGAATTCAAAAAGGTTTTGTTCCAGCAGCTCGAAGACCAAGTAGAACTTGAGGGCGTCGTGGAAGAACTCGAGGAAGCGGATGATGTGGGCCTCCTCAGGGTCCAGGCCCCTCATGCAGCGCAGCAGCTTCAGCTCGTTCTTGATGATGCGGTTGCGGTACGCGTCGTTCTTGAGGATCTTGATGGCCACCATCTCTCCCGTGCTCCGCCGCCAGCCCTTGGCCACCTCCCCGAAGGTGCCCTTGCCCAGCACCTCGATGATGTCATAGCAGTCGGTCTCCGACTGGATGGTGGCCATGGCGCCTCTGCCGCCGGTCACTGGCCGGCCGCCGCCCCGGGTCCACAGGCTCTGCTTCCGAGGTCTCCCACCCCGCCGCCGGCCCCGACCCCCCCGCAGTGGGGGAAAGAGAACCTCACTAGTGCCTCCCCCTGCGAGCTTTGCCCCCGTCTTCCTGGCACCCCCCCAGCCCCCTGGGCCACACCACGAGTCTTCCAGGGGCCGCACCCCTCCCCTGATGCCCTCCCGGTGTGGGACCAGGGGCCCCAGCCCCCCCAAGTGGGTTCCAGGTTGCTGAGTGGCTCCGGTTCTGTTGTTGGAGACCTGAGCCCCTGGCTGGAGTGGGGGGTGGGGTGGCAGGCTGAGCCCCCTCCCCCGCCCAGTGGCGGAACCCTGCAGGTCTGGCAGGTGACAGAGGGGAGTGTGATTGTGGACCCTGGCATGTGGGAATGGGACCTTCCTAAGCAGAGTTGAGGAGATGCAGGCTTTCCGAGCTAGGGGGTCGTGTGCGTGTGTGTGTGTGTGTGTGTGTGTCCACTGTGGCCACCAGGCCACCATAGGGGAGGTGTGGCTGCAGGAGACCAGGTCGCACCAGGTCTTGAATGTCAGGCTGTGAAGTTGGGACTTTTGGTATGAGGACCCTGGGGAGCCACAGAGGAGCTTTGCGCGAGGGAAGGCAGGGTCATGTCAGAAAGCTACTGGGTGAAGAAGGGTGGATTAGAGGGGATGAGAGGGGAGGCCCAAGCTTGGAGCAGGGCCCAGGTAGAAGACTGGGAGGAGAGAGGAGGCAGGTCACACTCAGGAGACCAGGTGACCAGGTGACCAGTGACAGGACAAACAGGTTTGGGGAGGAGGAGGGAGCCACCCAAGGGTCTAGCCTGAGTAAGGATGGTGCGGACATGGACAAGGAGCAGTTTGGAGAGGAGAGGTTAAGGTCTGCTTGGGAAATTAGAGCATTTCAACACTACCAGTGCTTTAGAAGTCTTATCTGATCTTAAAACATTCAAGTTTCTTTGGGGTAGCTAATTTTAATAGCTCCTTTTTTTACAGTGGAGAAAAAAGGGTGAGGGAGGGGATGGGGGTGAATGAGGGGATGGGGGTGAATGAGGACCTGGGACGAGCCCTGGGGGCCCATGGAGGGGAGAGGAGAGACTCTGGAAGGAGGGTCCCAGAGAAGTCAATAGCCGGGAGGCAGAGGAAAGGTGCCTGCGGGCACTGACGCAGCAGCCAGCATGGTAGGAGGAAACCAGCCCCAATGCTGGGGCTGAGCAGGGGCCTCGGACCTCCAATATAATTCCTGCCATGTTTGGGGGAGACAGAGAAAGCACATGTCATGTTGGGCAGTGACCTGAGGGAGCAGGCGTGAAGGGAGGTGTGGGAATAAATGGGGGTGTTGACAACGGCCCTTTAGCCTCTAAGGGTGGGAGAAGTCAGAGAAGGGAAGAGAATGGACAGGCAGATATTTTGCCCTGGGAGGAAATCTGAACAACTGCCTTCTTACTCCAGTCTGGGGCATCACGGAAAGACATGGAGGAGTCCAGAGGCCCTAGTGGGGGTTAGGGGCTGAGATCCAGATTCGGGATGGGGTTTGTATGTGAGAGAACGGCCCCTAGGCCCTAGGAGCTGAGGTCCAGCAGTGACAGGGACTGAGGAACCTGGGACTTAGCCCTTAACAGGCAGCCAGCAGGCCTCCCTGATGGCCTAGGGGTTAAGTCTCATCACTACTACCATGAAGATCCACCTCCAAGGCATGAGTTCAATTCCTGACCAGGGAGCTGACCCACATGGTGCAGCAGACCTCTCCTGTTGTGCCTGCTGCTCCCCTCAGCAGTGTATTTCAGTAGATCTGCCTGTTCTGCTCCCCATTCTATCTCTGGGGAATCCTCTCAAACCACACACACACATTTCAGGTCTGTACCCCAGTTCTTTTATGCAAAAATAAAATCTTAAACTAATAAAAAGAGACAGCCAGTATCTGAGGTGAAGCTCTGAACCCATGATGCTAGAGAGGGGACCAGGAGGGACCTTTCTGGGTGGGGCTGGGGTGCAGCAGGTAGTTAAACCAGCCGGACCGGAAAGGGACAGTCTTTACAGGGAGGTGCTCTTGGTGGTGAGGAGGTGGCCAGCAGGGGGCAGGCGGGGAGCAGTTGTTCAGTTTCCTCAGGACGCCTGTCCTGTCCCCGTGGGAATGCGTTTCCTGGTAGGTCAGGTGGACTTGCTAGCACACAGGTCCCCCAACTATGCTCTTGGGGGTAACTTCTCAGAGTCCCGCTCAGTGGCCCCTGAGACTTCTGAAGGGCTAGGGCAGGCTCCCTCCTATGGGGCCACCCCCACATCTCGCTAACTCTTCTCTACCAGGGCTCCAGTGCGTCCTCAGGTTCCCCCACTTTCCCCCTCAGGGACTCGTTTCTCTGCACCCTCCCCACCCTCCCCTGGTGCAGAGAGACCGGACACATGGCAACCTCTGGATTACTTTATTCACATGGCACGATATGGGCACTCCTGCCAACGAGACGGCGCGAGGCGCGAGGCCTCCACGGCCCTGCCCTGGTCAGTAGTCCACCTCCTGGCCACCCCCGCCCCCAGGGTTAGTGCTAGTTATCTCACACACAAAACAAGGGGGAGGCGGGATGCGAAGACAACGGGGAGTCTCCCTGTGACTTCAGATGACAGCGGCCTGAGCCCCCTCCATCCTGGTAGGGCCTGGAGCCCCTGACTCCGAAAACCCCACGCTGGGCAGCCTAACCCGGAATCCACCCTCTTCTTTGTCCCCGCTCCTGCTCCGGGACTTGGGGCTCAGGGACACCCGCGGGAAGCGGAATTTGGGCGACTTCTCCCCACCGGGGGACTTGGCGGCTGCCTCACCCTCCTGCCCCCGAGAGGCCCTGGAAGGGGAAGACAGGCCCACACGGGGCAGGCGGACCCGGCCTCGCCCTCGGCGGCCAGAGCTCCCTTCTCCGCTGGCCTCCTCTTCCTCCTCCTCGGGGCTGGGAGAGCCATCCCTCGCGCCCGCCTCGCTCTGGCTCTGGCCGAAGCCCACGCGGGGCAGCCTGAGTTTCGGGCTCTTGGCCTTCTCGCCCTCCTCGCCCCCCTCCCTGGCCCGCACCAGGCCAAACCGCGGCAGCCGCACCTTCAGTTTGTGCCCGGCGTCCGCCTCGCCCTCTGTGACCTGGTACTCAGCATGACTGCCAACTGCGGGCGGCGAGAGCTCCACATCGGGCAGTGAGAGGTGGAAAGTGCGCTCGGCCCCTGGAGGCTGGGCCCCAGGCGCTTCTCCCCTAGCCCCGGCTTTGGCCTCCGGAGCAGGCATCTTCAGCCTCAGCCCACCATCGCCCGCGGCTGCCTCGCCTCCCTTCGCCTCTGCTCCCAGCCCCACGTCCAGCTCAAGCTGGGGCACCGTCACAGCAGGCATCTTAAAGATGCCCTCGCCCACCAACAGCTCACCACCTGCTCCCTGCGTCCCAGGCTGGACCGAGGTCACTTGAGACGTCTGGATCCTGTAGCCTGCTGTGCCCTCTGCTAAAGAGGCTGCACTCTCAGCGGGCTGCTTGGGGGCGGCACCGGCAACCACCTCCCCAAAGCTGGTCAGCTCTACCTGAGGCAGGGAGATGCCCAGTGGGGGCATCTTCAGCGCCCCCTCCTGGCCTTCAGCGCTCGCTGGCCTACTTGTGGACACTTGCAAGTCTGACAGCTGCACTCCACCGGCCACCACCACTCCAGCTGGCCCCCCTTCTTCCTGGCCCCTCAGCGTGATCAGCTCCACCTCTGGGATCTTAAGCTGCCCAGCTGTGGACTCTGGCTTTTCCCCGGGGCTGACACGTCCACTCTGAATTTCTGATTCCTTCCCTCGAGCTAGCCCAAAGGAGGGCATCTTCAGCTTGGGCATCTTCATCCTCCCATCCCAACCCCAGCCCTTGCCCTCCGACTCAGCCACCCCTGTCACTAGATCCCCTGCTTCGGTGTCTCGGCCTCTGATGCCAAGCTTCGGCAAGGCGAACCTGGGCCCCTTGAGCTTGGCATCAGCCCCTGCCACTTCCACCTTGCCTGTGGGCAGATGGGCATCCAGGCTGAGATGTGGGATGGACAGATCGAGAGCAGGTAACAGGCCTGCCTCCCCTGCCCCTTTGGCCTCAGCCTCGGTCCCCACGCGAGCCTTGGGGAGTGAGATGGTAAACTTGGATACCTTCAGCTTGGAGGCTCGCCCAGCCCCCTCAGTCTCTGCTTTGGCCACCTTTGGCCCTGAGAGTCCAAACTTGGGCAGGAAAAACTTGGAGGAGGGCTTGACTTTCATCTCCGTCACCTCTAGCAGCCCTTCGCCAGCCTCCACTGTGGGCAGTTGTGGGGTGACAATCTCAACAGAGGGCATCCGGAAGGCCCCTTCCTTGACCCCTGCTGCCACCTGGGGGCCCTCTGCCCGCTCCACCTTGCCTACTGCAGCTGCTTGGACCTGTCCCTCCAGGCCGAGGGCTCCTGGCAGATGTAGCTCCACAGAGGGCAATGTAAGAGAGGGAGCACCCCCACGAGCCTCGATGCCCACCTCTGGCTGCAGACAGGGAAGTGTCACCAGCTTCCCCAAGACCTCAGCACCTGCCTCACCTGGCTTGCCTCGTGATGGGGACCCTGCCCTCCCTAGCTTGGGCATAGTCATCTTGGGCATTTTGAAGCCAAATTCCTTCCCCTCTGCCTGTTCTGCCCTGGCAGCTTTCAGCTGCACCTCTGGAGCCTTGGGCAGCTTCACCTCGCATACCTTCGGGAGGTGAACCTCTGGGACCTTTGGCACTTCCATTTCTGGCAGCCGCATCTCTGATGCTTTCGGCAGCTGCACTTCTGGGAGGTGCACATCAGGCACGGCCATCTCAGGCACCTTTGGGAGTTTCATCTCTGGGAGCCTCACGTCAGGGACTCTCATCTCCGAAACCTTTGGCAGTTGCACCTCTGGGAGGTGCACATCTGGCACAGCCATCTCAGGCATCTTCGGGAGTTTCATCTCTGACACTTTCGGCAGCTGCACGTCCGGGAGGTGCAGGTCTGGCACAGCCATCTCAGGCAGTTTGGGGAGCTTCATGTCTGGAACTTTCGGGAGCTGCACCTCTAGGAGGTGCACGTCTGGCACAGTCATCTCGGGCAATTTCGGGAGTTTCATGTCTAAGACTCTTGGGAGCTGCACCTCTGGCAGATGCACATCCGGCACAGCCATCTCAGGCACCTTTGGGAGCTTCATCTCTGTAACTTTCGGGAGCTGCACCTCTGGGAGGTGCACATCCGGCACAGCCATCTCAGGCACCTTTGGGAGCTTCATCTCTGCCACTTTCGGGAGCTGCACCTCTGGGAGGTGCACATCTGGCACAGCCATCTCAGGCACTTTTGGGAGTTTCATCTCAGAAAGCTTCATCTCTGTAACTTTCGGGAGCTGCACCTCTGGGAGGTGCACATCTGGCACAGCCATCTCAGGCACCTTTGGGAGCTTCATCGCAGAGACCTGTGGCAGCTGCACCTCTGGAAGCTGCATTTCCGGCACAGCCATCTCTGGCACCTTTGGGAGTTTCATCTCTGGAACTTTTGGCAGCTGCACCTCTGGGAGTTGCACATCTGGAAGGGCAGCCTCAGGCATTTTTGGGAGCTTGACATCAGGGGCCTTGGGGAGACTCACTTCGGGCCCCTTGGGCATCTTGACCTCAGGCACTGAGACCCCAAGGCCAAGGGAGGGCATCTTGATGCTGGGCAGTTTCAGCTTGCTCTCAACTTCAGGGGCAGTGGGACGGGGTTCCAGGAGAGAAAGCCCGAAGGTAGGCATTCGAAGTCTGGGCCCCTTCGCCCTGGTCTCCGGGCTGCCCTTGGCCACTTTGACCTCAGCAACTTCCTTTCCTCGAGCCCCAAAGCGGGGGAAACTGAGGCGGGGCATCTTCAGGGCCACCTCAGGCACCTCTCCTCGGGCCTCTACCTCTTTGCCCGGCAAGGTCAGGTCCACTCCCACAGCAGGCGCTGCCACATCCAGGGTGGGCACTACGACCGTAGCAGCCCCTTCTCGGGACTCCAGGCAGGGAAGTGTGGGCAATGTGGGTAGAGAGGGCAAGGTGGGTAGCTCCACTTGGGGGACCTGGATGCCTCCAGCTATAGGCTCCACAGCAGGTGCAGCAGGGACTCCTAACCCTAATGTCGGCAGATGAAGGGCAAAGCCACCAGCTGCCTCGGCTGCTGGGGCCACCTCTCTTGGCCCCTTGGGGACTGAGACCTGAGGGACACCCACCTCGGCACCTGGCAGCCTAGGTCCAACCAGCTCCACCTGGGGGGCTGTGAAACGGGCTCCTGCTGCTGCTTCAGCCTCTGCTTTGGCCTTTCTGGGGGGAGGAGCGGCAGCCGCCAACCGGGCTATATGAGCCTCTTCAGCCACTTCTCGGACTCGAAGCCGAGGTAGCTGGAGGCGCCGGCGGGTGGGGGCTGCTGAGACAGGCCCCTTGACAACCTCAGCTTTGAGGCCCCGACGCAGACGGGAGAACTTGGGGAAGGAGAATTCCACATCAACAGGGGCCAGGTCTGCAGGGGCCCCCAGGGCCCCAGGCATCATCATCTTCTTCTTCTTCACGGGGGACAGACTCTGGATGTTCTGGGGAGAGAGGAGAGAGGCGGGAGGCGGTGGGACAGTGGGAGGCCCAGGGTGAACAGGGGAGCCCCACCCGGTATTGGACCAGGCTGGGTGGAGCATCTTGTCCCCCAAATGCTATTCCCACTTCCTGCCGTAGTTCCACCATTACTGCCCCAGAAGGCAAAAGATGTTCATTTAAAATATCAACAAGAGTCCAACAGGAGTGTAGGAGCTGATGGTGAGGATGTCTCCCCAAGGTGGGTGAGAGCCCTGGTCTGGGATGGGTGAGACCCCTCCCCAGGGAGGAGTTTAGGGGCAAGAACAGGAGGCATAAGGTGAGATTAGCACTGGGTTAGTGACAAGACAGAGCAGGAGGCTGGCCCATGCTGTGGGGGGACAGGGCTCACGGCGCAGAGACAGCATCGCTGGGGCAGTTCAGGGCCAGGACCGGGGCCGGGCTAAGCACGCGTACCAGCTTGGCCACCTTGGCCCGTGGGCCTTTGATCTCGTAGCCGGCCACAGAGCCAGGCCGCAGCGCCAGGTCCCCGGTGGGCACAGTGCGCTTTAGGCAGAAGGAGACTTTGTAAGGCTCGGCGCATTGCAGCAGACGTAAGGCGTCCTCGTACTTGAAGTTCTCAAAGAAGACGCGGGCGCTCAGCAGCTGATCCCCTGCAGGTGAGGAGGTGGTGGGCAGGGCGTGAGTCCCTCCAGGCTCCGCAGACGCCTGGTTCCACGAACCCGGCTCCAAGCCCCGGCCCCGCCTCTCCCTGAGCGCTACATTGAGACGCAAAGTCCCGCCCAGAGAGAAGCCCCGCCCACAACATTATCCCCGCCCACAGAGCAAAGCCACGCCCACTTGGGCCACGCCCATATCCTCACATTTTAGATACTGATTTTACTTCCTTTACTGAGAGAATAGAATCAGAAGGGAACTTCCAGAAATTCCCACCCCACCTCCCACCCCTACTCCTATGGCGACTTACTCCACACTCAACCTGTTCTTTTTTCCTTTTCTTACCCTCCTCCACTGCATCCCCTCACCTCCCTACCTGTTTTGTTTTTTTTTAAGATTTATTTATTTATGCATACAAGAGGTGAGGTACAGGACAGAGGTGCGGGGAGGGGTGGAGTGAGAGGATTCACTAGAGACAGAGTGGGGAGCAGAACAGGCAGATCCATTGAAATACACTGCTGAGGGGAGTAGCCAGCGAGACAGGAGAGAGGTCTGCTGTGACATGTGGATCAGCTCCCTGGCCAGGATTGAACTCATGCTGCAGTAGCTGCTAATAGTTCTGAGACTTAACCCCTTGCGCCACCAGGGAGGCCCCTCCATCTGTTTTTGAGTTTTATTTTTTTTTTTTTTTTTTTTTTTTAGAGGCATGCTTTATTTATTTATTTTATTTGTTTGTTTGTTTTGTTTATACATGCACTGGGTACAGTCAGAAGCACGGGAGGGTGAGAGAATTCACCAGAGCCAGAGCGGGGAGCAGAGCAGGCAGAAGGACCGAAGTACACTGCTGAGGGGAGCAGCGGGCGGCAGGAGAGGTCTGTGCGCCATGTGGGACCCTCCTCCGGTGGCCGGGGAGCAGCCAGGGATAGAACCGGCGCTGCAGAGGCTGCGCGCAGCTTCGTAACCCAGCACTCAACCGCTGCGCCACCGGGGAGGCCCTCCCTCCATCTGTTTTTAAGGATGAATTATCCCCACCCCTAGCTCAGGTTAATCCTCCCTCCCCTGATCTCTCAGGGACATCCTCTGGCAGTTCTCTCTTCTACATTACACTCATTAACATACCACATTCTGTGACTTCTCCCCTAGAAGGCTGTGTCGACCTCACTCCCCCTGGAACTCCTGCTCCATTTATCTGTCCACCTGAACAGCAAGCTTCCTTGAGTTATCTGGTTGCATTACTCATCTCTCCGACCACACTTTCCACCTCTGAACTTCCCTTCAGGTTCCATGCAGTCAGCTCCCTGTAGCTAAATCCAGTGGCCAAGTCCCAGACTTTTCTGTTTGACCACCTTGCCTCTGGCAAAACTTCACTCTCTCTCTTTCATCCACTTGCTTCACTCCCAGGGCTTCACACCTCTGGCACCTCTTCCTTCTCAGCCCCTCTCCCTCCATGACTCCATGAAGACACACTGGCCCAAGCTCAGGTTCAGACCTTGTCTTCTCCATCCACATGCTTACGCTCACCCCTTTGAGAAACTCATCTAGATTGAGGATTTTAAGATCATACACAGGCTAACCACCCCCAAGTGTCTTAGACTCACACAACCAGCTACCCCCTCCACATCTCTGTCTTGGTATCAACAGACACCTTCACTTAATAGACCCACACCTCACCCCTGGTCTGCCTCCAAGTGAGCTCCAAACCCAGTGTTCCCTATATTCAGCACTACCAACTCTATCCTCAGATCAAGAATCCCTGGACACAACATCAATCCCTCTCTCTCCATCACACCCCATGTCCCATCCGGCAGACTCCTCCCCCCAAATATATCCAGAATCCTGGACCTACCTGGCAGCGCGAGGGGTTTAGCACAGCACCGTGAAGCTGTTCGCAGCCTCTGCAACACGAGTTCGATTCCCGGGCCAGTCAGGGAGCTGCTCACATGGCGCAGCGGACTTGTCCTGTCTTGCCCACTGCTCCCCTCAGCAGTTTATTTCAGTCAGTCTGCCTGTTCTGTTCCCCACTCTGTCTCTGGTGAATCCTCCCTCTCTCTCACACACACACACACTCTCACCCACCTCTGGCCTGTATTCCAGTTCTTTTTTTTTTTAAAAAATATTTATTTATTCATGCATATAAGAACCAGGGTACAGGCCAGATGCACAGAAGGGTGAGAGGATTCACCAGAGTCAGAAAGGGGAACAGAGCAGGCAGACCGACAGAAATACAACCCAAGGGGAGCAGAGGGTGAGATGGGAGAGGTCTGCTGCGCCATGTGGGGTATCTCCGGCGTGGGCTGGGATGGAACCCGCACTGCAGAGGCTGCAGACAGCTTCACAGCACTGTGCTCAACCAGCTGCGCCACCAGGGAGGCCCTGTATCCCAGTTCTTGTATGCAGAAATGAAATAAATCTTTAAAAATAACAACAACAAAATAAATCCAGAATCTAAACCCTTCTCTTCACCTCTGATGACACCATTTTGGCTCTGAGACTCACCATCTCTTACCTGGATAATCACAGTAGCCTCTTAGTTGGTCTTCTGGCTCCCCATGCTGCCCCCCTACATTCTACTGCTAATGCAGCAGTTTAACATGGTTCACTCATGTTCTTTCTCTACTCACAACCCTCTCAATTTAAATCAAATCCTCAACATGGCCTGTAAAGCCCTCTAAAAACAGCCCTTCCCCTTAGCTCTCTGCCTCATCTCTTACTCTCCTCTTCACTAACTCTGTTCCATCTATACTGGCTCCTTGCTGTTCCTCCAAGAAGCCAGGACTTAGGGCCTCTGCACAGGCTGTTCTCTCTCTCTGCCTGGCATTCTCTTCCACACATAGCTGGTTCTCTTATACCTCTTTCAGGTCTTTCCCCTTGTCCTGGTCCATTTGGTTTGTTAAAAATTCAGCTTCCCTCCTGGCATGTGTAGCACTTATTGCTTTCTGACTATGTATTTTACTGATTCTGCTTAAAAATGCCTCTCCCACTAGAATGTAAGCCCTCTAAGTGCACAGTGTGAGTCTGGTTTGTTCACTGCTGTAGCCCAGGTATTTAGAATAATGTCTGGAAATAGAAGGAGCTTAATAAATAGTTGTTGCATGAATAAATCACATCAGCGTCACCTCCGGTTCCTAAAACATCCCTCACTAAGGTCTCCTCCCCACCTCCTCCAAGTTAACTCCACCTTTTTTTCCAGCCCCAACAACAAAAACAATAACTAGCCCTTACTTAGTGCTTACTAGGTGCCATTTAGCTATGTTGCCAAGTGTTTTCAAATACTGACTCATCTCATCCACGTAATAACCCATGAGGTTACTAAAATTATTCGCATTTCAGAGATGGGAAAACCGAGGCACAGAGTGATCACAAACCAGTAAAGCGCTGGGATTTGAATCGTGGCAATAAACCCGTAGAGCCGGCACTAGCCAACACGGAACCGACACACGAAGTCCCACTCCAAGCCCTTAAGGCCTCCTGCAGGTCGCCGGCCGGCCAGCCCGCCCCGCCCCGCCCGCCCGCCCCGCCCCGCCCGCCCGCCCGCCCGCCCGCCCCCCCCGCCCCAGGAAGCCCCGCCCATCCCCGCCTCCCTCCCCGCCCACCCGCCCTCTCCAGGAAGCCCCGCCCCTCCTCGCCTCCCGCCCGCCCTCCCCAGGAAGCCCCGCCCCGCCCGCCCCGCCGGCCACGCCCACCTTCCTGCAGGCTGAGGCTCCGCGCAGCGGGCGAGTCCTCCCGCAGCTCGCGCACGAAGATGCCCTCCTTGCCGCCGCCCGCCACGTTGATGCCGCTGACCCCCGTGTGCGCCTCAGTCTCCACGATGATCTCCACCAACTCCGTCCGCCTCAGCTCCTGCCGAGGGAGGCGAGGGGTGGCCATGGGGCCCTGGAGCCGGGTCTCGCCCGGAGTCTGCCATGGCACCTAAAGCGACTCTTGAACGGGTCCGCGGGGCGCAAGCCCCTCGGCCCGGCTTAGGCACCCACTCTGGCTTGTCCCTTTTAAGAGTTCTTTTTTTTTTTTTAATAGAGGCATGCTTTATTTATTTATATTTGTTTGTTTGTTTATACATGCACTGGGTACAGTCAGAAGCGCGGGAGGGTGAGAGAATTCACCAGAGCCAGAGCGGGGAGCAGAGCAGGCAGAAGGACCGAAGTACACTGCTGAGGGGAGCAGTGGGCGGCAGGAGAGGTCTGCGCGCCATGTGGGACCCTCCTCCGGCGGCCGGGGAGCAGCCGGGGATCGAACCGGCGCCGCAGAGGCCGCGGGCAGCTTCGCAACCCAGCGCTCAACCGCTGCGCCACTGGGGAGGCCCTGGCTTGTCCCTTTTAAAAAAGTGGTTCAAAGGCTCAGTCGTGGAGTCCCCTGAGGGCGCGGTGGGGGGTGAAGAGAGGCAGGGTGGGGGAGACTCAGGGCACGTGAGCGGTGGGCGAGTGAGGACTGGACGTGCCCTGGGGTGCGGGGCCCGCACGTGGGGGCGGGGCTAGGGGTTGAGCACAGCCTGGGAGCACTCTGGGGTAGAGAGCACTCTCCGGTAGGGAGCACTCTGGGGTAGGGGGCACTCTGGGGTAGGGAGCACTCTGGGGTAGGGAGCACTCTGGGGTAGGAGCACTCTCGGGTAGGGAGCACTCTGGGGTAGGGAGCACGGCTCTGAAAGAGGGGTCACATCAGGTATAGAAGTGTGCCAGAGATGGAGAGGTGTGTGGCTTGAGTATGTGTGAAGGCAGGACAGGCACCCATAGTCTAAGGGCCAGATTGAGCTATAGGGTGGGGTTGAGGAAGGGGTTCCCGTGAACGGGCTGGAAACTGGAAACATAAGTGATGAGGGAGGGGGCGCAGGGGAGTGAGGAGGGGGGTGGGCTGCCGCCTTGGAGACTTGAATGTGTGTGACACTGTGCCCTATTGTGGACTCTGACCCTAAGACCTGCATGACGCCCATGGGAGAGGGAATCCAGTGAATGGGAGGGGTGTGGGTAACCAGACGTGGTATCCCTGGTATTTACTGTAAATGGTGCTAACCTGGCTCTGGCCCAGCAGTACACGGTGGCATTCACAATGGGGCTTTCCAGAAGAGGCAATGAAAGACCCCCCGCAACCATCTAGAAACCCAATCTGCTGTGTCTCTGGGGGAGTACCCACTGTTAAGCTGGGTGACATGTGTGCACCAGAAGGAATCACTGGCTCTGAACCAAGACCCAAAGCAACAGGGAGCCACGGGGTACTGTGATGGGCAGGGCATGGAGACCAGGAGTCAAGGCCAGGGCTTGGAGCCAGAAAGCAGCTCTGGGCCAGATACCCCAGAGCAGAAGCTTCCAGAGCCTGGTAGGAAGGGCTCCTGTAAAAGGAGACCCGTTCTGTGCCTGGTCTCTGGCAGGAGGCAGTCAGTGCCTGTTCTCTCTCCGTAACTGACACCACTGATATTCGAGGGGCTTGCTAGGCACCAAGTCCTGTGCAGATGGTTCAGGTGTAAGTCCTCCACACCCTCAGAGATGGGGGCCATTGCTGTATTTGTGTCCTTGCCCTCCCCCAAGTCTGTGTCCCCGACCCAGACCCCACAAGGCCCCCTTGTAGGATGTGTGGGTGCTCACCTCGGCACTCCGACTCCTGGCCTCCATGGCACTGCTGGGAGTCACCTGGGCTCCAGACTCCTGCTTCCTCTCCCTTCTGCTGCAGGACCAGCTTTAGTTCCGCATGGAGCAGCTGCCTCTGAGCCTGCGGGGAGAGGGATGGGGGCTTGAGACCAGCAGAGGATGCATGGGTGCGGGGTTGAGAGGGAGAGGTCAGGGTGGGTATCAGAAGGGGAGTCACATCCCAGTCATTTTCTCACCGCTGCGTGGGCACAAGCACCCTCTCTTAACAGATGCCCAGCCTGGGGTGCTGCACAGTCGTCCACGGGCCTTGTGTCCTTCCTCTGGGGTCTTGCTGCCTACCAGGGAGAGACCAGGACATGAGGCTGCAGTCAGGCCACAAAGGGGCAAGGAGGGACGTGTGGCACCAGCCAGTGCTCACCTCAAGGTCACCTTCAGCAACTTGGGCCTCCTGGGTCCGGGGCTCTAAGAAGAATAACATGAGTATTACTGTGAGCCTGCACCCGCTGCATGCTTCCTGAGTGCCTGACCCCTTCTGTGCTTTGTCAGTACCCTCTCCATGGTGCAAATAGTAAACTGAGGCTCGGGAGACCTTTACCCAGCTACACAGCTCGAGGGCAAACAGTAAAACTGAAACTGACTTCTAGACCTGGACAACAGGGCCCTGAGCCTGCCACCCTGCCCATTGGGGGAGCCAGACTGACTATAAAATAATTATAGCCACTCCCATGTCCTCCCCTCTTTCTGTGCCTCAGCTTCCTCAGGCATAAAACGGAGAGAGTGAGAACTGGGAGGGTAAGATGAGTTAGCAAATCGGAAGGGCCAGGCACCCGGCAGGCACTTCATTAAGCCCTTGCTGTCACTGTCGCTAAGAACATCAGTGGTTCTGACCTGGTGTCAGATGTCCCACAGGGACCACTGCCCACGGACCTCAGAACACCCTGTGAGGTCAGCACCGTCACTGAGCCCATGGCCGAGAAGACACCTGAGGTTGGGGGAATGGAGATCACTTCCCCAAGTCACAAAGGCTAAGCCTGAGCTGGAGCTAGACCAAGAGCTCCAGCCCCTTATATGGGGAATAATAACTAGCAGCCTGGGGTGCTTTGCCAGTCCCTGGGCCAAGCATGGGTTGAAAGTGCCCTAAGACGTTCTCTTCGCTCCATACCATGGAAAACTCCACCCCTCAGAGAGGCCAGCAACAGTGTTCAGGTTCACATGGCACAGGGAAGAGGAGGCAGGGCTGGGTTTCCCTGCTGCCTCCCCGCCCAGGCCCTCCTGGAGAAATGGGGATGGACACTGTCTCCCCCCAACCCCGATTCTGGCCTTGTCCTCCCGGCCCCCACCTGGCATGCCAAGCGTCAACCCCCACTGCCCAGGGAAAGGTCAGGCCTCACGAGGCACATTCCCTGAAACAATGGCCCGTCTGCTGTGCCCGGTCACATTCCGCCCCTGCCCACCCACCCCCAGCCACACAATGGCCTTTCAGAGCCCACCACTGGCCAGGGGAGAGGCACCGGGACCCCTCAGTGCTTCCGCTGTACCCACTCCACTGCCAGGCCCCCACAGTGGCAGGAGGCTGCTCTCCGTATCTCCTAGGCCTTCTGATCTCCATGCCCTCCCTGGTCTCCCCACTGAGCCCCCAGTCCTTCCAAATAGGGTACAGACCTCTCCTGGCAGAGCTCCCACCTCTGGGCATTCCCCAGAGCTGGGCCCTGTGCCAGCACCCATGGGCCTCGATCCATGGGCATCACCCTGAACATGGTGGCTGTTTTAGGAGTGGAAACTGAAGGTCAAAAAGGGGAAGTGACCCATCTGGGGTGACACGGCTGGGGACAGTGTGCTTGACCTCAGCTCTGCACCTTAACTTGCCCTGGTGGCTCTGAGGGCTGGAGGAGATCCCTGGGAAAACACCTGGGCCCCGGGGCTGGCTTGGGCAGAGAGGGGCAGAGGGGGCCAGAAACAGGCATTTTTTTAAAGGAACCTCATTGGTCCCAACCCTGGACCGGGCAGATATTTTACGGATACGGCCATATGGTACCTCATTAGATTGATGAGTAAATGAGAATTAAGAGACAGGAAGGCACAGTGATGGGGTCAGGACTTGAACTCAGATCTGAAAAACTAACTGTGAGTCCCTGACACAATGTAGCATCCTGAGGTTGGCTGGGAGAAGCAGGGTGCTTGTAGGAGCTAGTGGACATGCAGGGGAGGACCCCCTGTGCCCCAGAGCCTGGCTTCAGGCCCCGGGCAGCAAGGGTCACACCCAGAGGCTGGCACAGGAAGCTCATCCCCTCCCTCCTCATCCCTGCCCAGGACAGCTGCCCAGCCCAGGTTATATTTAGCCCAACTGTGCCTTTCCTGAGCGACGTATCGAGCTCCTAGGTTGGGGTGGGGGCAGCTTCGGAAGGAAGCCCACCCTCCTGGAGAACTCTCTGTTCCCAGCTTTGCCCATCCCACTAGGCAGGGGATGTAGGGTCTGAAGGGTTCCCTATGTTGAAGCAAGGCACAGTAGGACTTTCCAGATGCCAAGGACCAATTTCTTAAGCGGTTACTGTGACACCTCCCTGGTACAGAATTCCCGAGTTTCCAGAATTTTCAGAGCTCCCGCCCCCCCGCCCCCCCCCTCACCGCCCCAATTGCTTGAGCATTTACTATTTGCAAAGACATTCTTCTGCCTTCCCCTCTGGGGAAGGTAGAACTCAGATGTTCGTTTAAGATGCCACTCATGCTTTCAGACTGAGGGGTTGTCATTCAGGCGCTGCACCCCCTCTGCTGAGCTAGAGCCTGATGAACTATCTGCACGCCCCTCCGCACCTATTCCCGCAGTGGCATCTGTCAGCTTTATTTGGGAATTCTCCCCACCCAGAGCCTTGGCTTCCCCAACTCCTGTGATCTGGTGTCCCCAGAAACGGGAGTGGGGGTTCCCCTGACTCATCCAAGCCCCTGGATTATCTGAAGCCATCAGTGGGGCAGTGGGGTTGGGGGGGCAGTGGGGGGATGTGATGGCCCTGGCTCCCTCTGCTGGTCCCTGCTCCAACACAATACTTGGGTAAGGTATTTTACTGCTTGAGGCCTCAGTTTACCTCTCTGTAGAACGGAGCCAATAAGAGTGGCTTTGAGGATATGAAGAAAACAACAGGTGCTTGGAGTATCCCCAGTATATAGTAAATGCTTAAGTAAAGTAAACTAAGGGGGTGCAGGGCTGCGCATCTCACAGCATCTTGACTCTGTTGCTCCCCTACCAAGGGGGGACTTCGGGTGAAGGACTAAGTTCAGCTGGGGCATCGGCCTCCCACCAACAGGAGCAGGGCTGCCTCTCTAGCATTGTATTCCAGGGACCAAAATGCCCTCCCAGCATGCTGTCCCACCCCGTTATCAGCATAATTCCTTTACGCTCACCTCAGCCCTGTGAGGCAGCCTTCACAGCTCATTTTAGAGCTGGGGAAGCAGAGGCACAAAGGGTGACAGCATCTGAGCCAAGCCTCACAGAGAGGGAAAAGTTGGGATTTGAACCCAGGGGCTGGCTCTAAAATCTGTGCCTTGAACTCCATACCACCCTGCCTCCTGCACCCCAGGGACCCTCCCAGGACCCCCCAGGACCAGGGTCTCCTTCCCAAAGCTTGTCAGCCTGACCAGGGAGGGAAATAGCCCGCTGATCTCTTACCGCTAGATCTCCAGTCACCTCGAGAGCTCCCGGTCGGTCTGCTCAGCCCCAGCCCCAGGCTGGGGGGGAAAAGGCATGGGGAGGGGGAGGGCGAGACCCTAGCCATTGGCTGCTGCCGCATGACATCACCAGGGGGTGGGTGGTGGGGAAACAAACATCCCCCTCTCCCAGCTACATCCATCCGCAAGGGGGTGGGGGAACCACCAGCCAGTCAGTCACCTCTCCCTTGCCTGGCTGACACCTCCTCCAAGAGCCTGCCCGGTTGATTTGCATGTTGCTGCCCCTACTTGGGGACTCAGCACCCACCACCACCATCTCCTGGCTTCCGGACCCGGCATGGCCCTGCTGGCTCTTGAGGCCCCTAAAATAAATCCCTCCCTTCCCTCTCCCTATCAATTCGGGTTCAAATCCCAGCTCAGCCTTTTCCAGACTGTGCCTTTGAGTGAGTTGCAGACTCTCTCTGGGCCTTAGTCAGAGCACCCACCTCAGGGTGCTCTTACAGAGGCTAAAAACTTTTCACTTTTTCATGAAAAGATGGTATGGACTTCATGGCACCAAGCGAGTGCTACTTATAAGTATTTTACATTATTATACACACAAATTAAGCAGCTGGCTAGGGGGCAGCTGACTGGTCGGGGGCTTTTGGCCTGAGTGAATCAGGGCTTGGGGGAACTCCTCTGTTTCAGGTAGTTTGCATTTGGGGGGAAACCTTTCATGTGCTAGAGGCCATACCAGGCACTCAAAACTCTGCTCCTGGAATCAAGGGCCAAGATGAGCAGGTTGTGCCTAAATTTTAGCTACACAGCCAGAAGGTGGTACAATTGGAGTCCAAAGTTCTGGGGTACCACAAGGAGCCTCATATACTCCCCTGTTCCCTTCATTTAAGAGACAGGAAGCTCAGAGGGGGTGAGTGACATCCAAGGTCATCCACAGCTGGTAACTGGTAGCCTGGGGACTTGTACCCAGCCGTGTCCAACTCCAAAACAGCCCATCAGGCCTCACCCTGAACCCCTGGTCCCTGGCCCGCCCTCTGCCCTGACTCACCAGATTCCGGGGGGCAGCACAGGGAACACAAGTACCCCCACATGCCCCTTGCACCCACCAGGCTGCTGCCTCAGATGCTCTCGGCTCTCAGAACCCTGGTCTGAAGCCAGGGCTGGGATGAGGCTGGGGATTACCCCCAAAATACAGGTCAGCAGCTTCTGCCCCATTGTCCAGCCAGGCACTACCACCAGGCCCTTGGCTCTGTTGGCACCCTTGCCCCTCATACCAGCTTAGCTGGCCCCATCCTCTTCCCCATACCACAGGAGGGGTAGGGAGGGCCTAATCCCAAGGGCATAGGGGACCAGGAATGGATTGGCAAGATCCCAGAATGCTAGGGGCCTCCTCCCTTCTCTCTGAAATGCCCCCTGCCCACTCTCAGCCGCCAGGGAAGGCAGGAATGTGCTGAGCTCTGGGAAATGCCTTCCAGAACTGGCAACCACCAAGGATTGGGGTATGACCAGATCCCAGCCAGAACTCTCCTCCCAGACGGGGTGGAAGGGACCATGTGGCCAGGGCTGTTGGTGGGCCTGACAGGACCCTCATCCCACTACGGTGTCTGCCTCATTCACTGATTCATTCAAATATTCATGTGTTCATTTGTTCATTTAACAAACAAGTCCTTGCTTGGTGGCAGACTCTGCTGGGCACTGAGCAACAGACCTAAATTCACCCTGGAGGACAGTCTCAGGAAAGGCTTCCTGGAGGAGGTGACTTCTGAAGTTAAGCTGGAAAGCTCAGGAGGAGGAGGGAACCAGTACAAAGGTCGGAGTGGGGGCGGGGGTTCCAGGCAGAGGGACGAACATGGGCAAAACACCAGAGCTGAGAAAGGGAGTAATTCCCTGTCCTATGTCAGCAGTGAGCAGGTGCCCTATCTGGTGCCCAGTCCCCCCGCTGGGAACACAGTCTTTCTGAGGTAGCCCGGGATGGCTTTCACAAGCTCACCATCCAGCAGGAAAACACATCCAAAATGGTCAGGGTGGTGATGAGGGAACCAGAGACAGATGAGCTTGGATCAGGGAGCCCAGGGAAGATGCCTGCTCCAACCTAGGAAGGGAAGTCAGGGAAAGCTTCCTGGAGGAGGGGACTTGTGAGCTGAGACTTGAATGAGTCATAGGAACCAGGCAAGAGAAGAGGGAAGGGAACTGTTTTATGGGCAGAGGAAATAGCCTTTGCTAAGGACTGGTATTCAGAGACAGTTCAGCTCATATGAAATCTCTGGGGGTCACCAACAGCTGAAAACTGTGTCCATGTTCATGGGTGTCTCCAGGGCCAAACACATGCCCTTTCCTTTTATCTCCTCATTTACACATTTACTTACCAACTATTCACAGACACCTCCTCTGTCTCTATCTCTGGGCTGGGTGCTACTGGAGACAGAGCAGAGACCATAACTGTGCCCTCATGGGACTCACAATTGAGGGCAAAGTTGAGGACAGACATTGAAGTGATGAATGAACCAAGCTAAGCACTGCGAGGAATGGATCCAGGTTTATAAGAGGGACCTGGCTCTCTGGCATTCTCAGAAAAGTCCCAGTGGACTTCTTGGAGGAAGCAATAGTTATGCTGGTGCCTGAAGGATACACAGGAGTTCATGTGTAGCTGCAGGTGGTGAGTAAATGAGCGTGCATTTCAGATAGAGGGAACAGCCCGTGCAAAGTGCCCCTTTGTGAATGTGAGCAGCCATGGGAGGGGAGAGGAGCTGTGAATGTGAACGTGTTAGAAGAAGCTGGGGGGAGCCTCAAGGTCAGCTGGGCCTTAGGGAGGGGCTGAGACTTTGTCCCGAGGACCCTGGGTATCTACAGGGGGTGTGAATTGAGAATGAAGTTTTAAGTACTCGAGGTTAGTGTGACTACAGGTCTTGCTGAGTTGGGAAGAAAATCCAACCCTCTCTGCTGCTCAGGGCCGAGCAGACAGAGAGGTGGGTACATGCCATCCTGTGTCTGTCCACTGGGCAGAAGGCAGATATCTGTGCTTGTTCCCAGTCTCGGGGACACTCAGTCTTAGTTCCATTAAGATGTTGGCTGGAAGGTTTGTGTCCGCTAGCAGGTTAAGGAAGCTTCCTTTTCTAGTTTGCTGTATTTGTCATGGTCTCTCAGTTCCTGTGTGTGTATGCGTGTGTGCATGTGTGAGTGTGTGTATGTGTCCCCCAGCACACTGCCCCTCCCTTTTGGCCCTGTCCTCATTTCTTATCTCTGTCTCTTGTGTCTCTGTTTCTCTGTCTCCCTCTGTCTCTGTATCTCTCTCGGGGGTGTGTCCACAGGAAGTTGAGTTTGGGGGGGTGGCACCAGCCTCCTGGTTCCGGCCAAGGCCACCTCAGTAAACACAGGACATCCTGCAGGACCGGGGAAGGAGGTGGAAGCTTTTCCTCGGGGACCACCCTCTCCTGACCCAGTCTGAGCTAAGCAGGAGCTGGGTCCCACCCAGTGCGCTCTCTCCCTGACCCCCATCCTTCATGCCTGTGACTGCCCACTGCTCTGGCTGCTGAATCCAGCCCTGGGGACCCAGCCTCCTGGATGCCTTCCTCTGGGTGTCACCCCAGCCCCTGCACCCACTGTGTCCCTCTCTGGCTTCAAATCTGCTTCTTCCCTCCTGGTCACCATCCCAGAGGGCCCCACTATCCCCAAGTCCCCTGGCCTGGGGGGACATCATCAATGCCCCAGCCTGTCCCTTTCTCTCCCCTCCCATGGCTGCTCTGTCCCTCCCTAACCTCCCCTCCAGACAGCTGGCCCCCACTCTCACCTCCCACCACCACCTCCAGGGCTCTCCTTACTTCCTGATCCCCAGTGTCTCCAGAGTAAATTCCCCCATGCAGGGTCCTTGTGCCCTGCCAACCCGCCAGCCCCATCACTTACCTTTCTCTTGCCCCTCTTTGGTCAAACCCAGAGCTTACAGATCCCTCAAAATTTTGTAGGGTTCCTCAACAACCAGCTCTTGCCCAGAGCGCTTTTCCCCCTGAACAACAGCCCTTTAAAGTGGGTACTGTTACTATTCTCGCTTACAGACAAGGACCGTGAGGCTCAGAGAAGTTAAGTGCTGTGCCTCGGGTCACACAGCCTCAGAATGGCAATGCTGAGCTTGAAAAGCAGGAGGTCTGGCTTTCCAAGCACAGCCCCTGCTCCAAGGCTCTTGAAGTCAATACCCAGTGACCAAGTCTCAGTACGCACCTGACTGCACACCTCAGGTGCCAGGTGAATGTTCACTGCATGGTGACTGGGGCAGGGGTGAAGGTGAGCCTTGGAAGGTGACAAGGTTCAGATCCCAAAGGACAGGGATCAATGCGGAGGATCCAGGGCAGATTTGCTTAGGGCCAGGCACAGAGTAGATACTCAGACATCTCTGCTGATGAGAGAAAGAAAGAAGGAAGGAGGGAGTGCAAAGAAGAAAGCCGAGGACAACTGGTCATAGCTTTCCTAGGTGTGGGCAGAAAGAAGTGTGTGTCTGTGTGTGTTGGGGGTCCCTGTGAAGGCCCATGGAGGGGAGGAGTTTTCTGGGGGGTTATCGTGGTGGGGACACAAGAGACTCTGTGAAAAGCAGCAGCAGCGGCAGCATCAGGGCTACAGCTCAGCTAGGAATGGTGTGGGCCCTGGAATCTGCTGGCCGAGGTAGAGTGGCCTCCTGCGGTTGAGCCTGAGGGCGGAGGGGCACGCCAGTAAGCCCGCACAATCATCTGAGGGTCAGACTTGGGGAGAGAGGGCCAAGTCCTCAGGCATGAGCTGTTCACAAACCTGAGGACACCAGGGGGCTGGGGCTGGGATATGCTGCCTTTGTGCAAAAGGCATGTCCCCTTCCCCTTGGCACTTGACCTCCATCTGCTGGGAAACTGTCCTAATAAATGTGCAAACGCATGGCGCCAGCGACATTCACAGTAGCCCCTTAAATATGGAGTTCACGTGCAGTGCACAACCTGTGCAACTGTACACAGAGGCTCCTGGGACATTGTCCAGCAGGCACGGGGTAGATGGGTGCATTATCCACACTTGGGTAGGCTGCCTGCATCAGTGCAGATCGCAGATTACCCCCCAGTTTGGCACCTAGAGATATCAGCAAGTATACCCAGGGCTGTTGTCAACAGGGGCACTGTTGACTCTGCACCGGGTGACTCCTTCATTACAGGGCAGATCTTCAGGAAATCTAAGGCAGTGGCATCACACAGACCCCCAGTCTGGGCACCAGGGGGCATGGCTGAGCTCAGCCTAAATCCCCGGGGTCTGGGTCAAGACAGTCTGTGTGCCACTGCCCAGGGGTTGGCATCAGCAGGTGCAAGAGTCAGGGGGCTGGAAGACCCTCAGATGGACACAGCTCCTGTCAGGCCGTTTCTACTCCCTTCTTGGGCCACCTCAGCCACTTCCAGAAATGGGCATGACTTCCTCCGCGGCTCCAGGAAGCTCTGCTCTGCCCGCCCCTTCCCGGCCCCAGGGGCCAGCCCCAAGCTGCCCTCCTCCCCCGGTTCCACCCCAGCTTCAGCCTCCCCGAAGCTTCCGGCCTGGCCGGCGGGAGGGGAGGCACCGGGACCCAGCGATTTGGGTGCCCCCTGGCTAGTGTTCCCCCTCTTCGAGGCCCACCCAGCCTCATAGGTTACCCTCCGGCCCTCGCCTCCAGCTGCCCCCACCCCCCACCCCAGCCCTCACCCCTCCCCTGCCCTGCGCCCCGGGCGCTGCCCTGCCCTGCCCCCACGGCCGCCAGGAAGGACGCTGCCTGGGTCCCGTGCCAGGCCTCTGAGTGTGCGGCCCCGCCCAGAGCGGCCAGGAATGCGGCTGGACCGCGGGGGCGGCGCAGACACCCGGCGCTGCTCGGCCGGCCCTATCACACGGGCCGCCGGGCAGGTGGCTCCAGCCTGCCGGCGCCTGGTGCCTTCTGGAGGGAAAACCTGACCGCCCGCCGTTCCGTCCAGCCGTCAACCCTGCGGCTCTCTGAGCGAGCCCGCCTCCCGACTGCTCTCTCCCCAGGCCAAAGAGAGATCGAGGCCCGGTGACGGTTTTATTTATTTTTGTATGACTTGCTGGAGTGTCCCTTTTCACCATTTTCCTCGAGAACCGGGGAGAGGCGCCATCCAGCCTTCGGTTTCTGGCTCGTTGTGAGAGCTGCCTTTTGCCCCCACCCCCAGCCTTGAAGACGTACAGGTGGGGTCTGGGAGCTTCTCCGCTGTCACCATTACCCCCCCCCACACACACACTCTCTCACACACTCACACTCACACCAGGGAAACTTGGCTGAGCGTATTCCAGAGTTTGTCTACAGGGCAGGTTAAAGGTAATAATTGATCTCCTCAGGCCAATAAAGCCTGGATTGAAACCCATTTCTTCAAGTGATCTCTTGGAGCCTGTAAAATGGGGGTGATCATAACAATAATGCTCATCCTGTGGGGTGGTTATGAGGATTCAGTGAGGTCACACACATGCACTGTGTGGAAGCTGCTGGAGGCTTGGTCCCACTCAGAATATGTCAATGCTGTCCGCTTACCCTCGCCTTAGAGAAGCACACGACGTGACATTTCCCAGAATTTGTTTAATGTCAAAAAAACGGTCGGGGTCTCCTCCCAACCAGGGTAGGAATACCCCAAACTATGACCTCAGGGGATTCGGTCCCGCGCAGGGCCTGGTCCAATCACCCTGTCATTCTATCATGAGGGCGGATCCCCCATCAACCCCAGACTAGAGATGGAGGTCAAGTTGCCCAGGACAAGATTCGGTCTCTCCCAAGCCCCTCTCTCAGTTGTTTCCTTCCAAGGAGAGCCAGTTGAGCCACCAGGCTCAGTTTGGACACCAGACACCCATTCACCCGGGGGGGTCAGCGTCCGGGCTCTGGTGGCCGCTCCAGTGCCTGTGTGCTCACCAGCACGTCCATGAGGTAGTCCAGCTCAGTCTCATCCAGCTCAGGAGCCTCCTCCTTCCCTTGCCCATCCTCAGGGCTGGGTTTGAGGTCCTCAGAGGTTGGTGCCCAAAGTTCACTGTCATACATAGAGGTGTCAATGTCCTCAAACAGGCCTTCCAGCCCATCGTCCAGCAGACAGCCAGTGCCTGGGCCTAGCAGGTCCAAGGTACCCAGGTCAGGTGGGGTTCCCCCAGTGGGGCGGCCAGGTGGCCCCTCATCTACTTGAGGCTGCGGGGCCTGGCTCAAGCCCTCAATGTGGCTGAGGTCCTCCAGGAGGCTGGCCATGGAGGCTGAGAGGCCGGCGTCCGAGCTGGCCAGCAGGCTGTCGGCCACGCTGGGGACTGTGGGTGGGCTGGGCACAGATGGCAGGGCAGCTGCGGGTGCCATGGATGCCTGGATGCGCCGCAATGTATTGACCACCAGGACCAGGTGCCGCAGGTCCGGCTCACTCTGTCGCAGGCTGTGGTGGAGTTTGAGCACCGAGAGGTCAAAGAGAGAACTGGAGGCTCCAGCCAGGGGTGCCTGTGCGACTGCAGGATGGCTGGACTCCAGCCACCAGGTGTCCACTGCCAGGGATTCCTTTTCCTCCTCCTCCTCCTCCCCCCGCTTGCGTTTCAGGCCCTTGCTCAGCATCATCTGTGGAGAGGGAGATGTCATTCAGTTTTGAAAAGCTGTGATGACTGCTGTGTGACACTGGGCAAATCACTGAACCTCTCTGGGCCTAGGTTTTCTTAGGGAACCTTTAAGATGTGAATAAGTCTCTACTTTGTAGAGCTGCTTTAAGGAGTCCGTGAGATAATATGCAAATACACAACAGTGCCTATTATATAGTAACTACTCTTATTAATAACTACTACTAATATTATTATTTATATCTTCGAGGAACCATGTGAAATGCTCAACAGTCAATCTTTTTTAACCCTCATATAGTAGTAACTAGATTTATTGATGTCTACTTGGCATCAGACCACATATAAATAAGTAAACACAGCAAATGTACAGCTGGTGCCAAGGTACTAAAGGGTTCCGGGGAGTGGTCAGAGAAGGCTCCTCCGAGGAGGTGACACTTGCTGAGCCCTCAAGCGTGAGGAGGAGTCAGTCACTCATGGAAGTACCAGGAGAAAAGCATTCCAGGAAGAGAGAACAACAGCAAAAGCAAAGACATGGACGGAGGCTGAATGAGCTTTAACTGAAAAAAGCCCGGGAAGACTGTCGTGATTGTAGCACAGAGAGTGACACGGGGTGTGGGGGGCCGGAGGGGGTGGAGAGTAGGCAGAGGCCGGGAGTTTGAGTTTCATTGTGAGTGTGGTGGGAAGTCATCGACGGGTTTGGGGGCAGGGACGAGAGCGGTTTCCTGGACTGATTAAATCGGCAAAAGATCCCCCTTGGCCGCTCGGAGAAAGGTAGTGTCAGGAGGGAGGCGGGGGGGGGGGGGGGGGGAGGGGATCCGCCCGTAAGGTCCATTTGGAGACCACCGCGCTCGCCGGGCCCAGGGCTGACGGTGGTGGTGGATGGAAGGCGCTGGTCGCTTCAAGATTTATTTGCGAGGCAGAGTGGACGGAGCTTGCCCGGGAATCCTGATGGGCACCGCGGACACTGAGAAGTTTTGAGGCCCCCCCAGTTTCCCGGGGTGGGGGTCCCTGGAGTTCTGGACCCCCGGTCCAATCCGCTTTTTGGAGCCAGGGAGCCTCCAGGGTACACTCCCCGGGCTCTTGCCCAACGGGCCCTCAAGAGTGACCCCCTCAGTGTTAAAAACTAGGTCCTCCCTCGCCTCTTTCCGCGAAGACCCGGGAGCCCGGAACCGCAGGAATTCAGCCCCCACCCCTGACTCCGCCCCTCGGTGCTGGCGCCCCCTAGCGGCCCCAGGTCGGCTTCCCCCCGGGGGTTCCGATCCCTCAGCCCCCGGGACCCTCGACACTGCCCGCGTCCAGCTGTCAGTGCCGCCCGCCGCCGGGGGCGCGCGGCCCGGGATCCCCTGTGCGCGTTCGGGCCTCTCGGCCTCCGCTCGCTTCCGGAAGGCCGTGGAGGCGGCTCCTCTCAAGCGGCGGAGGCGGGTGAGTCACGCAGCCGGAGCCAGGGAGCCGGCGCCTCCGCCCCCTTCACGGGCTGCGGCGTGATTCACCCGGCCGGGGAGGGCGGCACGTAGAGGCCCGCGCGTCTCGGTCCGGGGCAGCCCCGGCGCGCACCTGCCGGACCCGGGAATCGAACCTATCCGCGGACCCCGCCGCGGTTCCCCTCGGTCCCCAGGCCCCTTCGTTTCATTTACATACCCAGTCCACCGGCTGCCAATCAGAAGGAAGAGGGAGCCACCCGCAGCCAATCAGGAAGCGGCGGCGGCAGCATTGCTCGTTCTCTCGCTCTCCTCCGGCAACCGGCGCCTGGGTCGCGAGACGCAGCTCTGACTCCAGCGCACGACTCCCGGCTCCAGACTCCCCTTGGCTACCGCCCCTCCGTGGCGGCCCCGCCCCCAGCGCAGGGATTGGCCCTGCACGGTGATGGGCGGATCCCGTAGGGGGCGGGGTCGAAGGGGGGTTGGCTTCAGGGCGCATGCCCGGGAGGTTTGCGTGCAGAGGGAGGGCGAGAGGTGGGGTGTCTGCTTGCCCTGCGGGACTTGGACGGGGAGGGCATTGTGCCTCCTAGGATGTGGGCCTCTCGCGCTCACCCACGCACCTGCCAGATCCTGCCGTCGGCTTGCTTGCACACCCATCCCCAACGGCGGTCCACACTCCAGGCCGGAGAGACCTGGGTTCAAATCCTGCCACTCATTTGAGGTGTGACCTTGGAAAAACGCTTGACTTCTCTGAGCCCCACAAAAACTATTAAATGAAATTTTTTTGCCTACCGCTCAAGAGTTAGAAAAATTAAATAAGATCGCAGTTGTAAGTCACTGCCCCAGATTTAGCAAATGCCAGGCAGTTGGATTCAATTGTGGTTACAGGCAGAAAGAGGGAGGAGGTGTGAGGAAGGGAAATTTGGGGAGGGAAGGCCACTGGAGTCCCGTCCTGGGTTCGATTCCCTAAGTAGCTGTGTGGCTGCGGGCAGGTATTTTAATCCCTGAGGGTCTCTGTTTCCTTGTCTTTAAAATGAGGGAAATTATGTCCGGGCAGAGGGTTGTTTTAAAGATTAAATAGTGGGCCTCCCCAGTGGGGCAATGGGTTGATCGCAGCGCTGTGAAGCTGTCCGCAGCCTCTGCAGCGGGTTCGATTCCCGGCCGGCCAGGATGCTGACCTACATGGCGAGGCAGACCTCTCCTGTCTGGTCCGCTGCTCCCCTCAGCAGTGTATTTTGGTCCGTCTGCCTGTTCTGCTCCCCCGCTGTCTCTGGTGAATCCTCTCACCGTCCCACGCCTGTGGCCTGTACCCCAGTTCTTGTGTAAAATAAATAAATCTTTAAAAAAATAATAAAATAGAGATTAAATGGAACAATTGCTCAGAAGTGTAACTTGTCCTTTTGCTAGTAGTAATAGCCTTTGTACAAGTAGCACAGCACAAGCAATTAGCTCAAGTGGAGACAAGTGAGGTGGGGTTTCAGCAGCCAGAAGCTTAATAAACATCCAAGAAACTGACAGTGTAACTTACCTTCTCCTGTAGCTCATTTACTAACTTTTGTGGAGCTGTGGAAAGAACTGTGAACAAGTGGTGAATAAAACTGGCCAAAGTAGGTTCTCAAAAATGCTAACTATACTGGTTGATTCAGGCAGTGATTATCAAGGAATACTCAAACCTTAGGGTGAGAGGTTAGTGGGGAACAGGATCTTTTACAGTCTCTGAAACATCACCCTACAAGTTACTTGCTAATGACAAAGGAGGAAATGTCCTTTTGTGGTGTGGAGGTGTAGGCTCACCAACTTAACCATGTAATGAAACTGCAGCCACAATAGTGAGACACCAGGACACTGGGTGCCACCAGAAATGATGCATTAGAAACACCAGATTCTCTGGAGTCTTCCCCCTTAAATTGCATCAACTGAATCTCAAGTCTCTAGAGCCAACCTCCAGCTTATAGGAAACAGTTACAGATTTAACACAAGCACAATCAGAACACGATCAGACAGAACAGAATTAGACGAATATAGAATGTGTTACATGCATAGCACAAAACACCCAAAATTGAATTTCAGGAAAACACAAAAAGGAATTTATGGGACTGTGAGAATGTTACCAAATAAAAGGTACTATAAAGTGTATTACAACCAAAAAAGCATGAGAACTTCACTGGATCCTGATTTGTGGGAGTGGAAGGTAGGAAGCAGCCACGCCATCAAAGATATTCTAGGAGAAATTTGAGGATAGTCTGGATATTAGAGGACATTATGGAATTCTTAATTCTCTTAGATGTAAAATAATATTGTAGATTGTAGTGAGTGACCTTAATCTTAGGAGATGCCTGCTGAGCAAATAGGCGTAGAATGTCAAGATGTCTGTAAAATTTACTTTGCTTCAGCAAAAGAAAAAATGTACATATACACATGTACCTTTGTAGAGAAAGGCAGCTTTAAATGTTAGCAATTACATTAGGTGGGAGGGTATTCAAGTATCAGAATACATTCTCCTCCCATCCCCCCATCTTTTCTAAATGTGCTTGAAATTTTTCATAATAAAAGGAGAGTAAAATGCTAACTGGAAAGAGGTTCCTGCCAAGCAAGTTCACATCATGTCTCCCGCAATCTATTTTTATGGGCTGGCAAGAAGAGGAGACCTAGAATCTTCCCTCTGGGTCATACCTGAAGAGGAGCTAGTAGAAGACATTTAAGTAACACGGATTTACTAAACACTTGCTATGTTGTGGATACTGTTGCAGATGTTGGGGGAACAGCACTGGCTAGCTTCACAGGGTCTCTCATGGTTCAAAGCAGGCCGTGGAAACAGAAAAGAAATATGAAAACAAATGCATTCTTTGCTTTGCAAAGAGTCATGCATTGAGCACTTTCTGTGTGCCAGGACATTTTAGGCACTGAAGATATGGCAGTTAAAATTATAGACAAAAATCTCTGATGGGAGGAGGTGGACAATAAACTTTAAAAAGATTCTTTTGTATCTGAGAAGGTGACAAGTAGAAAGGAAAAGAATAATGCTGAATGGGCGAAGAGGAATGAGAGGGTGTGCAGTGTGAACAGGACCCTGCTGCTGGTGGAGGGGTGTTCGCAGAGGTCACTGGTTAGACACCTGGTGGAATGGGAGAGGCAGTAATGCTCTGGGGGAAGAGTTCTCCAACCAGAGGGAAGGGCCTGTGCAAAGGCCCTGGGGTGGAAGTGTGTGAGCTGTCCGCCAGGCAGCAAGGCCAGTGCAGCTGGACTGTCGACTGCCAGGGAGGACGTCGTTATTTTTAGGTCTTTTACAGCACTCTATGGGATGAGAAAAACACTGAGGATGAGTAAATGAAGATGATTTCTGCTTCTGACCAGTGACTTGAAGAAAACAAATAGGAGGGGATAATAAAGGGGCCTGGAGAGGTGTGTCTGTGATCCAGGAGTACCTCCCCCAGGAGATGACACTGAAACTGAGACCAGAAAGAGGAGAAGCCAAGAATTCAAAGGGCTGGGGGAAGGGAGAGAAGCGAGACCAGGCTTTGGGAAATGAAACTAGAAACGAAGCCACCAGGCCCGGCAGGCTCGAGGAGGAGCCTCGCCAGCAAGGGAAGGAGGGGGTTGAGGCGGAACGCCCCGCCCCGCCCCGCCCCGCCCCGCCCCGCCCGGCCGCCCCACCCAGCCCCGAGGGAGGGAGGAGGCGCCAGACGGGCTAGGGCTCTGGGCTCCGGCCGCCTGCTGGCCGGATACCCCGCGGGCCCGCCAGCTCCGCGGAGGGCAGGCGGCCGGGCGGGGCCAGGCTGCAGGCCACGCCCCCGAGGGCCGCGGCCCATCCCCCACCGCGGGGAGGGCAGGTTCCAGAAGATGGACTCTGCCCTCTGGGGCCTGGTTCCCTTTGCTGGACCAGCCTTTCCACTTCTCTAGCCAGTTCTTTAACAAGGCAGGGGCTAGGCCTCTCTGAGCCTCGGTTTGTCCACCTGGAGAGTGGGGCTGCTGCGCACACAGGCTCGGCTGTGGTACTGACAAACTACACGGTTCCTCTCGGTTATCTTTTAGGGATGTGACTCTGGGCCTCCACGGCCTGCGGGTACCCCGCTTTGGACAGAATCTATTAAAGAGAGCCTATTAAGGGCCTCCCCTGGTGGCTGAGGCCGTTGAGCGCAGTGCTGTGAAGCTGTCCACAGCCTCTGCAGCAAGAGTTCGATCCTGGCCGGCTGACAAGGGTCCCACATGGCGAAACAGACCTCTCCTGTCTCGCCCACTGCTCCCCTCAGCAGTGTATTTCGTGAGTCTGCCTGTTCTGCTCCCTGCTCTGTCTCTGGTGAATCCTCTCGCCCTCCCGCACATCTGGTCTGTACCCCGGTTCTTGTATAAATATATAAATCAATCTTTTAAAAAAAAAAGATGTTTCAGGTCTCCTCTCTCTAGTATCCAATGGCATCCATCTTACTCAGGGTAAAGCTCAAGTCTTCACTTTGGGACTCCCACAACGCCCTTGTGATTTGCCCCCATAGACTCTTTCACCTCTTCTAGTACTCTTGGCCTTGGTCACTTTGCTCCAGCCACAAAGACCACCTCACGGACCAAACACCCCCCACTCTTGCTCTGACCTCAGGGCCTTTGCACTGGCTGTTCCTGCACCAGGATCATTCCCTGTCCCAGATTCACAAGACTCACTTCTCCCCTCCTTCAGGTCTCCACTAAAATGTTACTGTCAGTGAAGACTACGTCCCACCTAAATAGTATCCCAAAAAAGCATCTGCTTTCTTTTTTTCAAAGATTTATTCTATTGATTTTTGAGTATAAGAACTGGGGTGTAGGTCGCGGGTGGGGGCTGAGAGGATTCACCAGAGACAGAGTGGGGAACAGAACAGGTGGATCTACTGAAATACACTGCTGAGGGGAGCAGCGGGTGAGACAGGAGAGGTCTGCTGTGCTATGTGGGTCAGCTCCCTGGCCAGGGATAGCTTGATAGGCTGAAACTTAACCTCTGCACCACCAGGGAGGCCCACATTTGTTTTCTTTTACTCCACAGCATTTATCACCACCCAACAGATTATATTTTACTAAATTTTTTTTGTGCTTATTTCAGCCTTCCCCCACTGTGATGCTTTATATGAGAGCAGGCACCATTTTATTCATGTGCTTGGCCCACACCAGGCACCCAATGAATAAATTCGAGCAACTATTGGCATCCTTGACCAGGGAGGCAGATGTTATTACTCAGGTCTTGAGGTGGACACATGGAAATGTGTTTGAGGAACAGGAGAGAATAGTGTACCTCCAGCTTAGGAGTGAAGGGTGTGGGGGAGATGAGTTCAGGGAGGAGGCAGAAAGGGTTGCTTGGGAAGTGCATTTTTGAACAACAGCAAAAAATACCTTTTTGAGGGCCCACCTGTGCCAAGCATGGTTCTATGCCTGGGGGATACAGCTGGACCCCACAACCCTTCCTTGGCATTCCCAATAGACCAGGATGAGAACTGTAATCATTCATGAGTATCTTGAGATTGGATCGGTGCTACAAAGAAAACCAAGTGGAATGTGATTAATGGTGGTACAGTTTGGAGGAATGGGGAAGACCTGTGAGAGAGATGACTTTAGACTGGGGAAGCTATGAAGCTATGGGGGTGAGGGTAGTGTCTTCTGGGCAGTTAACAGTAAGTGCAAAGGCCCTGGGGAATGAACTTAGGGCCAATGACCATTGTGAATGGAATTGAGTGAGGGAAGAGAGTAGGAGATTCGACTGGGGAAGCGAGGAGCAAGATTGTCAGGTCTCACAGACCTGGGTGAAGTTGGGGTTTTATTCTGTGAGGATAAAAATCCCTGAAAACTTTAAGCGGAAGACATAATCCAATGGACATGACTATCGAGATGCAGATCTTACGTGCTGAGATTCCCCCTGACCTGGCCCTCTTTCTGGACTGGCACCCACCTGTGCAAGTGACACCCATTGCTTTCAGAATTTAATGCAATGCCCTTCGTGGGGTGAGAATCTGACTTTGAGCCAGAAAGCATCAGCAACCCCCTCCTCCTTTCCTTATCTGAAGAATATGCCCAGGTGTGGTTTCCCTTTGCAACCCTTCCAGAAAAGTTCCTAATGTAAACTCACCTGTGCAGTGTGAATCACATTGCATCTCCCCTGCACTCCCTTCCCTTGCCCTCTTCATGCTTGCCAGTCTGGGCTTGCACCTCCCAAATAAATCAACTCTTAGCACCATAACTTTAGCTTGGACTTGCTTCCTAGCCTACTGTCTCCTAGAAAGATTATTTTTTTTTTTTATAGAGGCATGCTTTATTTATTTGTTTGTTTGTTTTGTTTATACATGCACTGGGTATAGTCAGAAGCGCGGGAGGGTGAGAGAATTCACCAGAGCCAGAGCGGGAAGCAGAGCAGGCAGGACCGAAGTACACTGCTGAGGGGAGCAGCGGGCGGCAGGAGAGGTCTGCGCGCCATGTGGGACTCTCCTCCAGTGGCCGGGGAGCAGCCGGGGATCGAACCAGCGCTGCAGAGGCTGCGGGCAGCTTCGCAACCCAGCGCTCAACCGCTGCGCCACCGGGGAGGCCCTAGAAAGATTATTTTTGTACTGGAGGTTGGAGTCATCGGGCATTTTCTTTTTCCTTTATGAGCCTCGCATTGCACACAATGAATTTACTTTTAAGTACCAGAGTCCTTATTTTGACCCACAATTCACGCGACTCACCTTCTAGCCCCAGTCTCCATGTGACTGGGGAATCTAAACACCATGTAGCAGCAAACACAATAGGTAAGAACAAGACTCTGGAGGCAGAGAAGTTCTGACTCCCAATTCCCTTGGTCTTCTCTTCCTTGCTGTGACTATGAGCAAGTGATGTGGCTTCTCTGTAAGCCTCAGGCTCCTCCTTTGTGAAATGTGCTAAGAATATCTACTTCGATATAATCAGGAATGTTAAATGACTTAATTCAAATAAAGTGGGTAGAGCAGGGCTCTTAACAAGCACTCAATATGTGTTATGTTTAATGATATACCTGCCCCAGCTATGGCAGGGAAGGGAACTTACCAGATCCCTCCCATCGACCCAGTGAAATTTAGGAACTTCAGGCAACACTACCCCTTCCAAAATACTTTTATTAGAAAAAAATTACAAACAATCAAAAAAAAAAAACAAAAACCCAAAAGGCAAGCACAAAATACACCCCACCATAAAACCCGCCTTTCTTTTAAATAATGTGGCGCGGGGCAGTTTGGTTCCCACCCTATTGCACGTGGTCCGGCCTGGTTATGAATCAGGAGGCTGCTGGGACTGGGGTCCTGCAATGAGGTGGGGGCCAGCCTGGGGGAGGAGGCAAGACCCTTTTACTCCCTCCAGGTGCCAGAGGCAGAGTCTGGGTTTCCATAGCAACAGCCAGCGCGCATCCCTGTCATCCCTCCACGGGCCCAGCTTTATCTTCCCTGAGGCCCCAGTGGTCAAAAGGGGAGTAGGAAGGAACTGGACGGAAAGGCAGAAGAAATGTGGAAGTGGGAAATGAGATTCCCAGAAACAGTCTCGTTAAGGCATTTGGAAAAGATAAATTAATTCAGGAAAAGAAGACCCACCTTCACAGAAGGCTGGGGTAACCAGACACACACACACATGCCAGACAGTTTGTGGAACCCTGAAATGGGAGGCGAGGAGCTGTGGTCAGTGCTTGGAGCCCCCACTAAAACACAGAGCTGCATCCAGGGATCCAACCCGCCGAGGCTGGGATGAGAAAGGAACCCCTTATCAAAGCTTTAGGATCCCAGAATGATTTCCATGATGTGATCTAGTTCATTCCACTCCCAGGATCCTGGGGTACAGAAGAGGTTGTGTGGAGGCTCCTGAGGGGCCAGAGCTGGCTCCTTCTCCACTGCAGACGTGTCAATGTCCAGAAAGAAGTCATCTAGACCAGAGTCCCCCAGGTAGCGGGAGCTCAGAGCTTCTAAGAATACCGGGTCAGGCTGGGGCAGCACTTCATTCTGGGGTGCTGGGGGAGCCATTGGATTCTGAGGGGGCTCAGTTTCGTCCATGGAGGTCTCCAGCTCCCTGAGAATAGAGCCGATCGTGGCAGACAGGGAGAAGTCCTCCTCACCCAAGAAGAGGGGCTCGGGGGGCAAGGCAGGTGTAGGAGCCAGGCAAAGTGCGGCCTGGAGTTGCTGGAGGGTGTTGTGGATGAGGACGTGCCTGCGGAGGCTGGGTGCCCGGGGGCCCAGGCTCCGCTGGACTTTGTCTAGGGAGATTCGAAGCAGGGCTTGCTGGTAGCTCCGAAGGCCTGCAGGACCCCAGTCCCACTTCTCATCTTCCTCTTCTGCCTCCAAATCCGAGTGCTTCCTCTTCAAGCCCCCGACCATGATGTCCTGTGGAATGAAGACAGGAAAGTCAGGCACAGCACGGCCGGTTCAAACCCCAAATCTCCCGCATGGTGGTTGTTGATTTGTAATGATCTGAATCTTAGTTTCCTCATCTTAAAGTGGTGACAGTACGAGTCCCACAAGGCTAAGGAGGAGAGTAAACATGTTTCTAAGAAATCAAGATCTGGATTTAAAACAACTGGGTTTGAACCGCACTTACTTGCCTGTGTGGCCTTGAACAGTGAATTTACCTCATTGAGACTGAATTTCCTCATCTGCAAGCAGATCCTAAGTTAGGATAAAGATCCCAACTCAGGTCCCTCTGAGTCTTAAAACTGTACTTTCCACAACACTCCTTTCTTCGAAAGAGTTACACAAGACAGGTGTGAAGTACAGAGAGCTGGAGTGGTGGTAGGATGTCTGGATTTGAATTCTGTCTCTGACATTGCTCAGCTGTGTAATCTTGGGAAGTGATGTAACATCACCTCTCTGGGCCTCAGTTTCCTCATCTGTAAAATGGGGATTGTTAACATCATCGCCGCACTGTCAAGCTCCCATATGTAATAAGCACAGGTCCCACAGCACAGGAAATTTATTCATTCAGTAAGTGCCTACTCTACTCCAGCCACCTGGAGCCCTGCTAGGACACCTATTTGTCGCGACCCGTCTCACGCAGGGAGGGTATTTCTGGCCGAAGCCTCCGCCCAGCGGACTGGGAGCACCCCCAAGAGCAGGGCAGGGGCCGCGCTCACGCCCTCCGGCCCCGCCTCCAGCTTCCCCCAAAGCGCGCCCCAAAGGAAAACCAGCTAGAACTCGACTCAGGCCAAGCCCCGCCCCCTACCGACCGAACCAATCATATCTCCGCACCCACAGGCCCCGCCCCCTGGCTCTCTACTCGGCACGTAGGCACGCCCCACTTGGCTCAGGGCCTTCTGGGAAAGGTGGGCCAATAGCCTCTAGGCACAGGCACGGACGTTCCGCGCGCACTACAATCCCCAGAGGGCTCCGCAGGCCACAGGGACGCGCCCTCCCGCCCTGACTCGGAGCATGCGCACGGGGCCCGGGGCGGGTGGGGGAAGGGAACCCGGACGTCCAGCTGCCGGGCGCCTGCCAGCCCCGCCCTCCACTGCCTCCAGGGCGGCGGGTCTGAGCTCCCCGCCCGGAACACCCCTCCCCCACCCCAGACTCCAGCTCCAAAACTGCTTTCCCCTGGTCCTTTGGACTCAGAGGGTCCCGATTCTTTCCCCAAACTGCTCTCGGGTGCGGAGACCCACGCCCTAGCACATCGCTCAGAGGCTACACACGCTCTCCAGCCCACGCCGCTCGGGAGACGCGGCGTCTTAATTTTGAGACCTTAACCTCATCCACTTTCCCACATTCTGTCTTTCAAACGCCTGTCGACTGCACCCCAGACTGCCCCCGCCGATCGCAAGATCTGAACACTGCAACTCGCCCCAGCATCCGCTCCCCGCCACCGGGGCTGCGAGACCGAGACCCTTGCCCCGAGTCCTCTCGCGCCTCCGAATGCCCGGGACGGCAGCCCCAGCCCCGCACCCCTTTCCAGGACACTAGGGCCGGGACCTCAACCCACTCCCGCGTCCCACACTGGCCTGATCTCCGGATTCCCTGCCCCAAAAGTTCCTTCCCTGATTCTCTCACTTCTTCAACCACCCCCCGAGCCCCAGTTCTAAGCTCCCTCCACTTGAATATCCTGCCCCAACAACTTCTCTGCCCGTCCAGGACCTCAGACGCCGTCTCCGGCCCCCCGAAGCCCTATCACCCTGGATCCGCGGCTCCCCCTCCCGCCGGCGGAGACCCCGCCTCCACGACTCTCGGGCCGCGCCCCCACCTCCCCGGCGCAAGGCAGGCGGACCTGGGCAGCCAGTCCTCACCTCCGCGGCCAGGTTCGCAGTGACCACCTCCCGCAGCCCGCACAGCTCGCCAGCCTCCAGCGCCGGGCGGGGGCCTCGCTCGCCTCCCGGGGCCTCTCGGTCTGGCCTCTGGCCACCCGGCTCCGCCCCCGAGCCGAGCCGCGCGCCGCGATTGGCTGCGGGGCTGCCCGCCGCGGGGAGCCGATTGGCTGGGCGGAGCCACGGCCCGTCGCCAGGAGACGCCCGCCCCGCCCTGCCCCTCCCTAGCGCCCGAGACCTTTTAAAGGATTCCGACCCGTCCGGGGGCGGGGCCACGTCTTTAGGGTGGAGGGGAACGCGGGGATCCCACTGTTTCCTGCAGCTCAGCTGCTGTCCTCGCTCCAGGGCTGTCAGCACTGCTCCCCGCGATCCCTCGAAGTCAGGGCTGGATCCCGTCGCGGGGCGAGGCCGGCCAGCACGCGCCCCGGGCGGGCGGGGCTGGGCAACTCCGGGAGGCCGCGCCCCTGGGGTTCCCGAGGTGGAAGCGGCGGAGCGGAGGAGCATGACGCAGCTTAAGCCCAGCCAATTGATCGGCACGGTTCATGTTGCCTGGGCGATCGCGGTCCCGCCCCTTCTTTGCTCGGTCCTCCCGCAAACCAACCCGCCCCCCCAGACCCGTCAACCGGTGCCCCCCTTCTTGACCCCCTGGGTATTTTCCTCAGTGTGGCCTCTGGTGGTCTCTCCTGCATCTTTCTGACGTGCCATGGTTCTTCTGTTGAGATGGCACCTCTGCTGCTGGAAACTCATTCACAGCTCCCGCCTGCCCCGGGGACAAAGTTCAAACTCTGTATTTGTCTCAAAGTCCTTCAAGGACCTGATGCGCCTTTCTTGCTCTCCAAGAGCCTGTCTTACCGATTCATTTTGTTTGTCTAAAATGGCTTCAAGTGCCCTCCACATCACGAGTGCAGATTTTGTGGGGTTTCTCCTGTATCTCATCTCCAGTGGCTACAACAATGCCAGATGCGTGGCAAGTACTCGAGATGAGAATAAGAGGTCTCTGAATCTTTAAATGTGGTTCCTCGTCCGGAAATATAAACCTTCAATTCCCTGTCTCATCAGAATTCTCCTCAAAGGTTTCCTCCTCCTAGCAGCCCTCCCAGGGTGAGTTAGAACGTTTTCTGAGCTCACATGGGGTCATGTGCTGCCTTCCTAGAATCGTCCGCTTTGCCTGAGCCTCCTCCATTGTCTGGATTGTGGGCCCCCTAGAACAAGAACCAGGGCTGTCTAGGTCACCTACTGCCTGGTCTGAAGCATCACCTACACAGGGCTGGACACAAAGCAGGCACCCGTGAGTCTGTTAAATGCTCCAGTGTGGCAGTAAGAAATAGGCAGAAATAAACAGCGCTAGAGTCTGGAAGGCCTGAGTCAGTAGTGCCTCCCTCCCCCCACCTCCCAGCAAGTTTTCCAGAAGGGGAGGAGAAGGCAGTTTTCTCCAGTCTACCCGCTGGGAGGGAGTTTTAAGATGCTTCAGACCAGTTCTCACAGGTCGGAATTTGTCAACACAAATATTTGCAGAAGCAGTAATATTTAGCTATTGGAAGGGATTTTTTGGGGGGGAGGTGTGGGCTGGAGCTGGAGAGGGGATGGCTCACTCAGGAACAGGTGTCTCTAGGGAACAAGGCAGGGGATAGTTTATTGAGAGTTGAGCAAATGGCAAGGAAGGGGCAAGTCTTCATCCCCCTTCCAAACCTGCCCCAACTCAGGGTGGCCCAAGGCCCTGTAGGTTACAGTCCTACACTTTTTCCTGGTGCCTCCCCTCCCTTCCCTATGGACTGTCCACTCAGGCTCCTGCCCCTTTCTCTTCCCCTCCTCAAGGCCTCTGCTTTGCTCCCCCTGGGTTTCTGGACTTCCCTCCAATCCACCTCCATCTGGTACCCAAGGAAAACTATAAAACACAAACCTGCCGGTGCCCTCCCTCACCTCTCCCCTGCTCCATTCCTTGCACAAAACTTCATAACACTCCAACTTTTTTATAATGACTGTACAATTTAGCTTCCATGGAGCAGCCTCTTGGGTCTGACCAATTCTCACCTCCAAGAAAGGTATTAATGGAGTAGTGAATGGATTTTAGTTCTTTAAAGGAGCTGTGTGCTCTCCAGTCTCCTGCCCAGGACACCATCCTGCCAGGTTTCAAGTGGGACACCCCACAAGAACTTGTTTGCTCAACGGAGTCAGATGCCCCCCAGGAATTCCACAGTCCTCTGTGCTGCCTCCATCAGCACCCTGGCACTCTGGGTCATCACTGGCAGGGGCAGGGCTGTCTTCCCCCTGGGCTGTGAGATCCAGGAAAGCAGGGCTCACAGCTACCATGGTCACCCCGGGTCCTCACCACCCTCCCGGGCACAGAACAGGAACTCAGTAAACTTAGAGGAAATGAATGAATGAATCATCAGGAAAATCTTGCACCAAAGCAGACATGGGCAGAAAGAAGAAAAGAGTCCCAGAGCTCGATCTTCTAGAATAATTTGAAGCTCTTGGCTCAAGATTTATTGCTCCCTTCCTTTGTTCTCCATTTCCCAGGATGGGCCAGAGCCCTATTCATACTGGTGGGAGGGGTAGGTGCTGTGCCCATCGTACTCATCCGTGGTGAGGCAGCGCAGCATGAAGTTGCCCAGGTCATGTTTGGAGATGACTCTTGAAGGCCCTCGTCCGTCCAGGGTCACTGTATAGGCTCCAGTCAGCGGCTGATCCCCTGCGAGGTAAAGACAGAAGGGCCAAGCTAAGTCCTTTCCCTTCTCTGGCACATGATCAGTCCAGGCCTGGGCTCTGAGTGTGCCCAGCTCAGATGGTAGAAGAGCCAGTGATATGTGGGGCCCTTCCTGTGTGCAGGGGGCAAGTCTAGACCCCTTATTTTATTCATCGGAAAAATTCTTATGAAGACCTAGTAGGTGTCAGGGACTGCACCCAGCAAGGGACACAACAGACCAGAATCCCTGCCTGCAGCATGTAGGCAGGGAGCTCAGAAAGACAATATGTCGGAAGGAGAGAAATAGAGCAGTGTGTGAGCTAAGAACTATTATTAACTCTATTTTACAAACAGGCAAATGAGACTCAGAGAGAGGAAGTCGCTCCCCAGGGCTGCAAAGGGTTACTTTCCAAGTGGTAAAGGCTAGATTTGCTCTCTCCTGTCTCTGGACCGCCCCTGAGGGTAAGTGAGAGACACGTCCCAGAGGTGGGGCTGCATTGAAGGGCAGTGGAAGAGCAGACATGTTTTTCTGACTTTGTGACAAGAAGTGGGTACGTCCTGATGCCAGGGGAACGACTAGGCCTTTCTTAGTGGGGAGAGTGGACATGCGTGACCTGGCTCTTGGGAGGTAGCCCCACCCAGTGGCTGCATTATGAGAATTAAAAATAATATTTGAGATGGGCCTCCCTGGTGGCGCAGCGGGTTGAGAGCTGCACTGTGAAGGTGTCCGCAGCCTCTGCAGCACAGGTTTGATTCTGGCCAGTCAGCAAGAATCCCACATGGCACAGCAGACCTCTCTTGTCTTACCCTCTGCTCCCCTCAGCAGTGTATTTCATCAGTCTGCCTGTTCTGTTCCCCGCTCTGTCTCTGGTGAATCCTCTCACCCTCCCACACATCTGGCCTGTACCCCAGCACTTGTATAAATTAAAATAATAATAATATCTGAGCGCAACCAACTTAATATACAGGTCAAAGCAGCATCATCAGTGCAGGGACAACCTGGAATCATGTGCACTAAGAAAGACACATCCTCACATGTGGCCAAAAATGTTTAGACTGAGTCTATGAGGGAAATCTAGATTTAAAAAGATACCTGGCCTAGTTAGCCTTATGAGAGACATTGAAAAAGCAAAAAGTTATGGGGAATTGTTCTAGATTAAAGTTGACATGGGAACTGAACACAAAGCAAAATTCATGATGGGAGCTTTGGTTTTAGGGGTCAGGGGAGGTTAAAAGATACATTTTGGGGCCTCCCTGGTGGCTTTGTGACAAGAGACAAAGGATTAAAATCTCAGCGCTATCAAGCTATCACCAGGCACTGCAGCATGAGTTTGATCCCCGGCCAGGGAGCTGACCCACATGGCACAGCAGACCTCTCCTGTCTCGCCCGCTGCTCCCCTCAGCAGTGTATTTCAGTCAGTCTGCCTGTTCTGCTCTCCACTCTGTCTCCGGTGAATCCTCTCACCCCCCACCTCTGGCTTATACCCCAGTTCTTGTATGCATAAATAAATAAATGTTTAAAAAAATGCCAGAGTAACTTAAAAAAAATTAAAAAAAAAAAAGGAATAAAACCAGTTATTGAGCCACCACATGTTGAGAGCACCAGCAAGAAGCTGGACCAAGGAGTCAACTCCCAGGAGGGAGGCAGCTCTTTTGACATCTCTAAACTTTGTGTCATTTGTTCACCAGAGAACCAAACTGAAAGTTCGAAAGGAGATACAATGAAGCAGGGAAAGAGGAAACAAAGTACTTGGGAGTGGGTGCATGTCCCCTGGGAGGCTGGCAATGGCAGGCTGGCCAGGGATGTTTTCTCCTCCATCATGGGAGGGGGCAGGTAGGTGTGCTGCCGGGTCCCTGCCCTACTCACCTATGTGCGGGGGCATCACGGCCACGTACTTCAGGCCCGACTCCTGTAGTACCTTGTGCATCCGAATGTGGTCATCAGTCACATCCTGCAGTCTTGGGGGAACCTTTGCTGGGTCCCACAGCAGGAAGGCTGAGGGGGACACAGGACAAGGTTGGTCCCAGCCTGAGGATGTTCTGGTCAGGCCTGCTGCCTGACAATCTTGTGGCAGGACAAACCCCAGCAGGGGCTCATCACTGCCTTCCAGTTGCTCCAGGACAAAATGTGGGGGTTGTCCCAGCCTCCTGTCTCACACAGGGACAGATGATGTCTCACCCCACCTGCCCACTGTCACCTCCTGCCTGGACCAGAGCAGTTGCCTCCTCCCTGGTCTCCATTCCCCCACCCCCAACACACAGTCAGGGGGCCCTGTGAACATAGCAGGGTCAGAGCTCATCAGGGTCTCCATCTTGCTCAGGGTCAAAGCCAAGTCCCCATCCGGGTCCCATCAGCCCTCCCACCTCGATGCCTAACACTCTCCCCTTTTCTTGCTCTGCTCGGCCTCACTCCCTCCCTCCCTCTCAGAGCCTTAGCATCTTTGGATCCCACAGCAGGAAGTGGCAATCTCTGCTCCCATCAGGCAGGCCTCCCTCACATCACCTCCCTCCATGGGGAGGCCACTGGTGTGATAAAACTTGGAGGTGAGGGGTGGAGATCTCAGGGGCAGACAGCCCGGTTCACAGTGCCGTCTTGCCATCACAAGCTGTGTGAACTCAAGGACACCAATGGGCCTCCAAGTGCCTTCACTCCTCAGCCATACAAGGGAGACAACAGCCTTTGTTTAGTGAGTGGCTATTATGCGCTACCACCAGTAAGAGTACAGGAGGAGTTTTGTGCAGAAAGGGCACCATCCCCAGGGTGCTCAGTTAGTGCAAAGTACACAGAAAATTCTCAATAGACACTGTCCAAGTTAACAACTCTGTTACACATCCTGTAGATTTTTCAGAGCAACAGCCTGGATTTTTCAGAGCAATAGCCTGCCCTGATTCCTCTTTCTGGCCCTCCAATCCCAACCCTGACCCCTCTGCCTGAGCCCTCACCTCTGCCTGTGCAGCCCCCAGTCTGATTACTCCGGCCTGTCATTCTTTGATGATACCTCTTCACCACTTTCCTCCCACCGGGGAGTGCAGCTCCCAGGGCTGTGTCGGTCACTGCTATGTCCCCGGCCTCACCCAGCAAGGTCAGGCACTCATACGGCACTCGATAAGCACAGAGTGACAAGAGCTGGCTCCCCACAACCCTGCGGAGGCCCCCTGGGCTGCCTATCCAGAAGCCTCCATCACCGTCGCCCCACCTCTGCGGCCCCGCCACCCACCCGAGGTGCAGGCCACGACCTTGTCCACGCCATGGGCCTTCATTGCTGCCACAATGTTCCGGGCACCCTCGGACATCACTGTGGTAGGACCTTAGAGGGGACAGAGAGTGGCTGTCACTGGAGGGTGGCGGTGGCGGTGGTGGCAGGGGTGGGGCTGGGGGCGGGGGTGGTGCCGGGGGCCGAGGTGCAGGGGGGGGCCGTGGGCAGAGGGGTGGCTCGGTACTGAGGTCATTGCCGGTGCCCAGCAGCACGATGATGGCATCCTGCCCAGCCACGGTCTTGTCCACATCAGCCGCCTGCCGAACATCCCCCACAACCACGTGGGCTGGCTGGGGCCCCTCCGAGGGCAGCCTGGACGCGTCCCGCACCAGCACTGTCACTTCGTAACCTGGGGTCAAAAAGGGGCAGAGGGGCAGGTCAGTGGGTTTTTGTGCTGGGACTCCCCAACATCACAGACTAAGTACTGGAGGGCAAAATGAACCCCCAAATCTATCTCCCAGGTCCTCTCTCCTGAGGCTTTGGTCTTCTAATATTTGATCCACATAGTTGATATTTAGTAATATCATTCCAGGCTATACCTTCATGCCATGGGTACAGGGCCATACTCTGCCAGATCATAAATAATCTGCATGGACACCTCCAAGGGCTTCCTGCTCTCCTTACTCTCACCCTTCCAGTTCTTTTGCCAGTCACTAAAGGGTTACTATCTGGCAGTGTGTTGGTCTGTGTCCCCAGCATGGTCCTGGAGGAAACAGGTACAGAAGAGGACTGAGTTGCTCAAAGTTTGCCAAGTCCTGGCACTGATCCCAGATCCTTGCCCCAGCCTTACTTCCCAAACAGCCCTATAGGTTGCTAAAAGTTTGAACATCAGGGCCTCCCTGATGGTATAAGGGGTAAAGTCTCAGCGCTATCAAACTATCAGCAGCCACTACAGCAGGAGTTTGATCCCCGGCCAGGGATCTGACCCACATGGCATCAGCAGATCTCTCCTGTCTCGCCTGCTGCATCCCTCAGCAGTGTATTTCAGTCAGTCTGCCTGTTCTGCTCCCCGCTCTGTCTTGGTGAGTCCTCTCACTCCCTAACCTCTGGCCTATACCCCAGTTCTTGTATGCATAAATAAAAAAAAAAATTCTTAAAAAAAAATAAAGAATACTGATAGCAAAGAATTGAAGCATATCTCTCACGCACACACACATAAAAAGCTGTGATATTAACAAAGAAACCTGATATTGGTCAACATTGGCAGCTTTCAGATTAATCCATTATTCAAAACATGATTATAGAAAAAGAAAAATAATAAAATTGTTCCATTTTTCTTGATAGCTATCATCAATTTCAAAAACAAATAATGGGAGACTTACACTCTGGGAGGGCAACAATGATGATCAGTACAATAAATATTTTTTTTTTTTTTTTTTATAGAGGCATGTCTTATTTATTTGTTTGTTTGTTTGTTTGTTTATACATGCACTGGGTACAGTCAGAAGCGCGGGAGGGTGAGAGAATTCACCAGAGCCAGAGCTGGGAGCAGAGCAGGCAGAAGGACCTAAGTACACTGCTGAGGGGAGCAGTGGGCGGCAGGAGAGGTCTGCGCGCCATGTGGGACCCTCCTCCAGTGGCTGGGGAGCAGCCGGGGATCGAACCGGCGCTGCAGAGGCTGCGGGCAGCTTCGCAACCCAGCGCTCAACCGCTGCGCCACCGGGAGGCCCCACAATAAATATTTTTTAAAGAGCACTTAATATGTATCAGGTGCCAAGTTCCTTGCCTGTATTATTGACTATTATTAATTATTATTAGTCCTCTACTCCCCCAAAAGACCCTGGGTTTGAATTATAACCCTATCACTAGCTAGCCATAGGACACTGGGCAAGTCATTTAACCTGTATAAGTCAAAGGGACTTCACTTGTAAAGTGACATAATATTGCCACCTTATAGGGTTGCTGTAGGGTTAAATAATATGTCTAACAATTTAAAATAATAGGTTGATTTATTTATTTATTTTTTAAAGATTTATTTATTCATTTTTTTTTATTCATTTAATTATACAGGTTGATTTATTTTTAAAGATTTATTTATTTATGCATACAAGAACTGGGGTACAGGCCAGAGATGTGGGGGTGGGGGGTGTTGAGAGGATTCACCAGAGAGAGAATAGGGAACAGAACAGGCTGACTGACTGAAATACACTGCTGAGGGGAGCAGCGGGTGAGACAGGAGAGGAGTGGGTTACTCCCTGACCAGCCAGGGATTGAACTCATGCTGCAGAGGCTGCGGATAGCTTCATAGGTTGCGTCTTAACCCCTTGTGCCACCAGGGAGGCCCCACAGTTGATTTTTTTGAGCTGGGGTGTGGGGGTGAAAGGATTCATCAGAGACTGAGTGGGGAGTAGAACAGGCAGATCTACTGAAACACACTGCTGAGGGGAGCAGCGGGTGAGACAGTAGAGGTCTACCCCAACACCCCCATCAACTCAGGGAGGTCGAACTCATGCTGCAGTGGCTGGCGATAGCTTGATAGTGCTGAAACTAACCACTGAGCCACCAGGGAGGCCCTGTAATCAGTTGATTTTTGACAAGGATAATAAAACACTAGGAGAAAGAACAATCTTTTCAATAAATGGTGCTGGGGCAACTGGATATCTATATGTAAAATAATGAAGTTGGATCCCTACCTCACATCATATTAAAAAAAAATGAACTCAAAATTACCAAAGAACTGATATAAGAGATAAAATTATAGAACTCCTAGAAGAAAACATAGTCATAAGTCTTTGTGATTTTTGGTTTGCTAGCTATGACACCAAAGATATGAGCCACAAAAGAAAAGACACAAAGACTAATTATCATCAAAATGTAAAACTATTGTGCTTCCAAGGACACCATCAAAAAAGTGAAAAGGCAAACCTCAGAATGGGAGGAAATTTTTGCAGACCTGTATTTAGAGTATAGAAAGAACTCCTATAACTTGATCATAAAAAGATGACTAAGTCAATTAAAAAGTGGTCTGAATAGACATTTCTCCAAAGAAAATATACAAATGGCCAATGAACACACAAAAATATGTTTAGTATCATTATATATCAGGGAAACGCAAATCAAAATCACAGTGAAATACCCCTTCATGGCCACTAAGAAGGACATAGCCAAAAAGATAGACAATAAATGTTGATGTGCATGTATAAACTGGAACATTTATACACTGTTGATGGGAAAGTTGAATGACTCAGCTGCTTTGGAAAATAGTGGCAGTTCCTCAAAAGGTTAAATATACAGCTGCCACATGACTCAGCAATTCTACTCCTAGGTACATGCTTGACATAAATGAAAACATGTTCACAGAGGCAGTATTCATAATAACCCAAAAAATGGAAATCATTCAAATGTTCATTAGTTGATGAATGGATAAATCAAAGGTGGTATGTTCATTAAAGGTATTTCATAATAATAAAAAATAACATGTCACATGCTACAACAAAGATGAATTTTGAAAAAGTGCTTTTGTGTTGGGTGAAAGAAGCCAGTTAAAAAGAACAATATATAATGGGGCCTCCCTGGCAGCTCAAAGGGTTTAAGTCAGTACATTAAAGCTATGACCAGTCACTGCTGCATGAGTTCGATTTCCGGCCAGGGAGCTGACCCACATGGCACCGCAGACCTCTTCTGTTTTGCCTGTGGCACCTCTCAGCAGTGCATTTCACTTGATCTGCTGTTCTGCTCCTCACTCTGTCTCTGGTGAATCCTCTCACTACCACCTCAGCTCTGGCCTACATCCCAGTTCTTGTATGCATAAATAAATACATCTTTAAAAAAAAAACACAATTTGCCTTTCTGAGACTTTAAATATTAAAAAAAGAAACACAAAGAATGACACATTGTATGACTCCATTTATGTGAAATGTCCAGAAAAGGCAAATCTATGCTAACAGAAGTAGATACCAGTGGTTGCCTAGGGAGAGAGGAAGAGCTGGCAGGGAAACACAATGAGGTGACTTCTAGAAGTTTCTCTTTGAGGGAGATGAAAATATTCCAAATTAATTGGATGATATTTGCACAACTCTCTAAAAACGTTAAGATTCACCAAACTGTATGCTTGAAATGGGTGGACTGTATGGAATGTGAATTATATTTTAACAAAGCTGTTATAAAACTGCAAAACTACAATTAAAAATAAATTTTAAAATTAAAAAAAGCCTGCAAAACTAAAATTAAAACAGAAAAATGCAACATTTAGGTGGGGGGGGGGTGCCTGGTCCTATATGGGAGTTGACAGTGACTATGCCTTTAAATCATCTCACAATTTTATTTCCAGACCTGGTCCAGTTCTGCCTGGGCTCTGGCCCCTGTCTCACCCCACTCCAATTCATATTCCACACGGAAGCCAGCCACTGCTTCCCACAGTTACAGCGAATGTCCTCCTGCTCAGATCCCATGTGGGAGCCCCTCAAAGCCTTGAGATAAAGTCCAAGTTCCTCAGGCCAGCCTCCAAGGACCTCAGGGATCTAGCCTCTCCTCTCCACTGCAGCTGGAGCCACCACCCTCAGCCACTGCTTGTCTATTAGTTCTTCAAATGCACTGTGCTGTCTCCCACTCTGGGCCTTTGCATGTGCTGTCACCTCTGCTGGAGCACATTTTACCCTTTCCCAGATCCATAGTCACTTATGTCTCCCATGTCAGGTCCCTACTTTGCTGATCTGGAATAAACCAGGGGCCCTGTGTCACCTATGCCACTTCTCCCTCACTTTTTGTAAACACGAAAGCGCAGGCTTCACGCCCCATAGCCCTGGTTTCAAACTCAGGTTCTGCCACCTACTGGCTGAGGAACCTCAGGAAACACCTTCCCTGACAGGGCCTCCAACTTCACTCTAAGGCAAAGAGCACGATAACCAGCACATCCCCATTCATAAGAGAATGACACAACCCAATGCTGCCCTCACACACCCCAGGGGGCAGCAGGGGCCCGTGGGTTGCCAATCCTGCCATCAGTGAATGGCCATTGTATTGGTTAAGAGGACCCTCGCAGGACCTCCCTGGTGATGCAGGGGGTTGTCTCAGCACTATCAAGCCATCGCCAGCCACTGCTACATGAGTGCATGAGTTCAATCCCCAGCCTGGGAGCTACCCACATGGCACAGCAGACCTCTCCTGTCTTCCCCGCTGCTCCCCTCAGCAGTGCATTTCGGTAGATCCACATGTTCTGCTCCCCACTCTGTCTTTGGTGAATCCTCTCACTTCACCCCCCACCCCATACTTCTGGCCTACACCCAGTTCTTGTATGAATAAATAAATAAAAATAAATATTAAAAAAAATATGGACACTTGTAAACTGTGAGTATTTAGTGGGAAGAAACATGTTCTCAGATCGTGAGAACTCTGGTACAGGCCCAGCATAAGGTGCCCACTGGCCTCACATTATTGGTGACTGGTGACATTTACTGAGAACTTACGATGTGACAAGTGCTATACAGGCTCTTTCGCAGATGACTTTTTCTTCCAGAAAATTTTTAACACAACCTGCATTTAAATTTAAAAAGCCACATGTGGCTAGTGACCTCCATACAACAGTTCTGCTTTAGAATTCACAGATTTTACCCTTTACAAAGATTAAGAATGGGGCCTCCATGCCTCCCTGGTGGCACAGGCGGTTGGGCTCCCCATTGTGAAGCTCTCCGCAGCCTCTGCAGTGCAGGTTTGATCCTGGCAGGCCGGCGAGAATCCCACCTAGCGAGGCAGACCTCTCCTGCCTTGCCCACTGCTCCCCTCAGCAGTTGATTTCATCAGTCTGCCTGTTCTGTTCCCCGCTCTGTCTCTGGTGAATCCTCTCACCCTCCTGTGCATCTGGCCTGTACCCCGGTTCTTGTATAAAAATAAATAAATGTTTAAAAAAAAAAAAAAGAATGGGGCCTCCACGGTGGTACAGTGGGTTGAGCACAGCGCCTCTGCAGTGTAGGTTCGATTCCCTGCCAGACAGGAAGATACCCACATGGTGTGACAGACCTCTCCTGTCTCGCCAGCTGCTCCCCTAAGAAATGTATTTTGATCTGTCTGCCTGTTCTGCTCCCTGCTCTATCTCTGGTGAAACCTCTCGCCCTCCTGTGCCTCTGACCTGTACCCCAGTTCTTATATAAAAATAAATAAATCTTTTAAAAAATAAAAAAAGATTAAGAATGTTTGTAAGCTATTTACAAACTTTTCTTAGAAAAGTTGTGAGACTTTGATTCTCATATTTGCTCTTGCTTTATCCTTCTATGGAATACATACACCCATATAATGTGTACAGAAATATATAGTTTTTTGGGCCTCCCCTGGTGGCGCAGCGGTTGAGCGTTGGGCTGCGAAGCTGCCCGCTGCCTCGGCAGCACCGGTTCGATCCCCGGCTGCTCCCCGGCCACCTGAGGAGGGTCCCACATGGCGCGCAGACCTCTCCTGCCGCCCGCTGCTCCCCTCAGCAGTGTACTTCAGTCCTTCTGCCTGCTCTGCTCCCCGCTCTGTCTCTGGTGAATCCTCTCACCCTCCTGCGCTTCTGACTGTACCCAGTGCTTGTATAAATAAATAAATAAATATTAAAAAAAAAAAAAAGAAATATATAGTTTTTTTTCCAAGCTATTTGAGAGTAAGTTGCAGAAATTGTGCCTCCTTTAAACTTTTTCTGTTTGTTTTTTAAAGTGGATGATTTTTTAAAAGATGTTTTTATTTATGTATACAAGAACTGGGGTACAGGCCAGAGGTTCGAGGGGGTGAGAGGATTCGCCAGAGACAGAGTGGGGAACAGACCAGGAGGATCTACTGAGATACACTGGTGGCAGGAGCAGTGGGCAAGAAGACAGGAGAGGTCTGCTGTGCCATATCGGATTGGACTCCCTGGCTGGGACAGAACTCAGGCAGTTGTGGTGAGAGCGCTGAGACTTAATCCCTACGCCACCAGGCGCTCATTTCCACTTTACCTACATCTAGGTACACAGATGACAAGGTACTTTAAGCCAGGTGTGAAGTGGCAGGACTGGAGCTTGAATGCGGACACAATGGCACCAGAATCCATACCCGTCAGGACTCTGAGCCCTACAGAATCATGGAAGTAAATAAAAGTCCCACTTATTCAAGTCCTTTTTCTGATGGGGACAGCGAGGCTTTGAGCTGTGAACACTTGTTAGACCCACGGCAGAAAGCAGTGGTCTCTCTGGGGCCCTAGATCTCAATTCCAGGGGTGCAGTTCTGTCTGTGACCAGCAGGGTGGATAAGTGGAAGTCAGTGGAATTCAGGACTAAGGGAAAGGTGGTAACAAGGGAATTGGATCCTCAGGGTGACTCAGCACCTCTCACTTCTCCCTCTTACTTCCTCCCCTAGAAGTGCTTATGAGCAAATTTATTTCTCCTCCCCCCACAAGATCCCCATTCGTGTTCCTGGGGATGGGAAGAGCAGTGAGCTTAATAGGAGACTTTCAGGCTGATCCCTCAAAGGGAGGACTGAGCTAAGAGACAGAAAGTGGCGTCCTGGTGAGACCCATCCTTTTGGGACACCCAGATAGTCAATATCTTTAGTCACCAATGCCAGCAAGGGTGGGGCCCTATATCTGTCAGTCCCAGGCCCTGCTGAGGGTTGAAGTCTAAGCCTTGGGGGCGGGGGATGCTGAGATACTTATCTCCTTTCCTGGGGTAACAACTTTTAACCTACATTGACTCCCAGGGCTAGTGTGTCCCCAAGTCGTCACCCACGTCTCCGTCATCCTCAACACTAGGCGTTCACTGCCACTGGTCCCAGCCTTTTCAACTTCCAGCCTTGGTGGCCCAGCCAAGAGCCAGCGGACTTTGGCGGCTAAGAGCGCCGGGTGGGTTCAAATCCCAGCACTGTCTCCTCCAGCGGAGTGACACTGGACAAGTCACTCTTCAGGGGCTGCAGTTTTCTCGAGCGTCAAATGAGATGAGAATAGTTCTCAGTGCAGTGAGGATTTAACACGCGTGAAGAGAGGGCGATACTTGGGGGATAAGGGGCGGGAAGCAAGTTGACCCCTGGCTCTGTAAACAAACCCTCCGATGGTGCGCTCAACACCACCACCCCCACCCTCAACACCACCACCCCCACCCTCAACACCACCACCCCCACCCTCAACACCACCATCACCACTAGGGCCGCATGCCCTACGTGCCCTGGATTTAGGCCTGTCTCCAGTGTCCCTCAGGGCCCCAGGGCCATTTCTTACTCTCTGGACTGACATAAAATGGGATCTCACACCGTCCCCCACTTCCGTCACCTGCTTGGTCCCCTGAGTCCCCCCCACACCCAGGCACTGGGGGCCCCACAGGGCCTCAGCCCCACCTCTTCTCCCTCAAGCTCAGCCATGACACGGCCCACCCGCCCCAGCTCATGCCTGCTTGCACCGCCTGCGCCAGGGTGGTGAGCCCGGTCCTGCCGGTGGCGCCGAAGATCGCAATCTTCTTGACGGCCATGCTGCTGGGTCGCGGGGCGAGAGGCCGCGGAGTCGCAGGGCGCGCGGGAAGCGACTGGCCGCGGGGCCGCCCTCCCGGGCTCTTGTAGCGGGACGCGCGGGGCGGGGCCTCCCGGCGGGCCACGCCCCCGCCCGCCTCTCGCTGGCTGGCTGGGGCCGAGGGGCGGGGCCACAGGCCACGCCCCCAGCTAGAGGACAGGGGTGGGCAGGAGTCCGCTCGCTCCGCCTCCCACCAGGACGGCCCCCGCCCGCCGCCTGCCCTGGGAGGCGGGCTTGAACCTGGCCATCTAGCCCGACCGGGTGAGCCGGGTGAGGGGAGCCGGTCACCAGCACCTCGCCTCCTGCGGCCGCCACTGCGGGGCGGGGCGATCTCAAGACACGCCCACCACTCCCCCGCCCCTCGCTCACGCCCCTCGCCCAGGGCCTCGGAGTCCACCTGGGCCTCGCATCGTGCCCCTGGGCCTCCGGGAAGCTGCAAGGGGAGACAGCGGGCGAGGACCGCGTGGGTGTGCGGTTGTGACACTGTGTCACTGTGTCTGTGCCCGTGTGATCTGGGTGACTGTGGGCAGCCCGCAGGGACAGCTCGAGGGTGGACTGCACGTGCCACGTGCTGGGGAGCACCAGGTTACAGGGGAGACTGCATGTGACACCAGCGTCCAGGTTGTTCTTGCGTGACCTTGGTGACACAGCTGGTGACACTGTGTGTCAGTCTGTGATGCTGTGACACGGGGATATGGTGTGAGTGTGGGACATGGGCCAGCTATAGATTATATGGGAGTGTGTGATCCCAGGGGACGGTGAGGTGCGTGACACGGCATGTGTCAGGGAAGTGTGCCACTGTGATAGGGTTGAGTGGTGGGTGTGACTGCTGTTTTGACGCTCTCTGTGGCCTCTTGTGCCTGGGTGATGTGTGAGTATGTGACAGTGCGGGATTCGTGACCCCCGTGTGAGTGTGATTGGGGTGTGACAGGTTCGAGTGTGTAACAGGGCGTGACAGTTGTATGATGCTGAAGCTGTGAGGTGTGAGTACGTGGCTCTGTAACCCCATGGAAGTGCGCGACAGCCCACGGCATATGTGTACTTGGGTGTGACTCCGCGTGGATGGCGGGGGCGCTACTTGCGTGTGTCACCGTGTGTGACGCTGTCGTGCGTGTTCCAGTGTGGGGCCCGCGTGAGCATGAGACTGCGTGTGACAGTTGGCATGTGTGACCCCGCGTGACCCTGCCCGAGGCCCGGCCCTGCCCGGGAGCGGCGTGACCCCGCGTGTGTGGCGGTGTGGGGGCGTGCGGCTCCGTGGGGGTGTGTGACTGAGTGTGACGCTGCCTCCGGCCCCCGCAGGTGCAGCTGCGGCTCGCGGCCGCGGCGGGTGTGTGACCGCGCCGGGGAGACGCGGCCGGCGGCCGGGAGGGGGTCCCGGGGGCGCGCCGAGCGCGGCGGCCGCGCGAGCTGGGGGGAGGCGCGGCGGCACCGCGGCGCATGCGGATCTGGCCGAGCGGCGGGGCCGGCGGGGCCGAGCAGAGCCGGGCCGGGCCGGGCCGGGCCGCGGACGCCGACAGGGAGGGCGGCCGCGCGGCGAGCGGCGGGGACAGCGGCACCGGCGGCCGCGGCCCAGGTGAGCGGCGTGGGGGGCGCCCAGCCCCTCCCTCCAGCATCTCCCCACCTGCCCCAGCGGCCCTCCCCGCGCGCGCGCGGCGAGCACGGCCTGAGCCCGGGGGGACTCCCGGGGTGTGGGGAGGTGGAGGGCGGGGGATGCGGCGAGCCCCCACCTCTCATCCCAGACCCGGCTCCGCGCCTTGCGTGTCTCCCATCCAGGTCTTTTCCTTCCCAGGCCCCCTCCTCGGCAGCCGTGACTAGACTGCAGAGAGACAGGCGCGGCCCTGGAAGGGTTAAAGCCTCCGATCCACCCCCCTCCCGCAGCCCTGCCGGCCACCCTTTGCTGGGGCCACACAGCACCCTTCCACCTCCCCCACAGCCTTCCACCCCATTCTTAAGGAGTGACCGGGGCTGTTCTCCTGCCTGACCCAGCGCTCACGAAGTGCTCAGCGCCATCCTGTCCCCCAAGTATCCTCCATTGAGGAAACAGTTGTGATCAACATTTAGCAGAGAGGGAAACTGAGGCACAGAGCCACCAAGACAAAGATATTAGGTTAAAGATGCAGCAAGAATGAAGCAGGACTGAACTCATTTCTGTCTGCCTCCAGCACAGGAGCCTTGCTTTGCTAAGCCCTGTGACCCCGGGATGAATAATAATAGCAAGGACCAGGTATTGAGGACTTGCTCTGTACTAAATACAACAGTCCCTGCATTATTAACTCATTGCATCTTCAAACACCCTTAAGGCTTTGGGATTACCTTACCACTTTACAGATGAGCAAACTGAGGCTGGAGAGGGGAAGTGACTTGACGGAGGTCACGAAGGTAGTGGGTGCCTTTCCTTGGAAGAAGGGAAGACTAACAATAGATTGTGGCATATCCACCGAGAGGGGCAATCTCTACTACAACTACCAAGAACCAGACCCTGCCTTTCTAGAAGCTGGTGGGTTAGCAACTGGCTGAATTGAGAAGGGGGTATATTAATTCTCAGTTCCCTCCTTTCTTTGGGGTCCCTAACAAAGGGTGGAGGACATGTATCTGATGTCTCTCACCCCCATACATTTTATATTTACTATCTGGCAGTGTTCTGGAACATAACTCTGGTGTCAGACAATGTCAGTTAGCTATTGCCACCATACTGCTGCATGAATATCCCCACCACCACCCCAAAATCAGTGTCTTAAAACACTGAGCATTTATTTAGCTATGGAGTCTGAGGTCAGCGACTTAGGCTGGGCTCAGCTGGACAGTTTTTCTGATTTTGATTGGGCTGACTCACAAGTCGGGAAGGGAGGCCATGGGTTGTTGGCTGCTCTAGCTGGCCTTGGCTGGAATGACTGGGGCCTTGGGCCTGGATTAGCCCAGGAGTGCTTTTCTTAGGGCCACAGGCAAGCACAAGTAAAAACATACACAACTCATAGGCTCCCAACTCATTAGTACTTCCATCTAATTCAGTTGGTCAAAGCAAATGATGTGTCTGCACCCAGGATCAGGGGTGGGATGTGTCCCCCAGTCTCGCTCCTCTGCCTTCTCGTCCCCACAGTGGAACCCTGAAGAGCTATGTGGCATAGGCCATGGCTTTAAGGGTGAAGAACTGGGCCAGTTAATACGATCATTACTTCACATTTGAATTTTGGCTACTCACTAGCTGTGTGATCTTGGGCAAGTGAATTAACCTCTCTGTGCCTCAGTTTCCTCCTCAGTAAAATAGGTTGATTCACAGCCTATCCTTAGGGAATTAATTTGGTGGGAATTAACTTAGAAAATGCATATAAAGTACGGAGCACAGTGCAAGTGCTAATAAATGTTAATTATTGTTATCGCTGCATTCTAGAATTAGTGTTCTAACGAGAATAACAATGACGACGATTTGCTGAGTCCCTACTCTGTGCCAGGCACTAAGGCAGGTGCTTTATCACAACCTTATGAAGTGGTCAGGACAAACATTATTATTGTCATTATTATGTCCACTTTAACGATTGGGAAACTGAGGTGAGAGAGGGGACAGGATTCACAGCCTCCTGTTGTTTCCAGCCCTGATTTGCCTCTGCCCATCTTCAGGGCTCTCCTGCCCTGATGGCTCAGATACCAGGGGAAGTGGACAACATGGAGGGCCTACCTGCCTCCAACAACAACAACCCTGCAACCCGCTGGGAGAGTCCTGATCGGGGCTGGGAGCGGGAGCAGCCCGCTGCCTCCACTGCAGCCGCCTCGCTCTTTGAGTGCTCCCGGATCAAGGCCTTGGCAGGTACTCAGAGGAGGCTGGGCGGGCAGGAGGGGAGAGAGGGAAGTGTAGGGGTTGCTGGGGTGATGTCCGTGTACCTCACTGCCTGAGAACCTCCATGCCCTGGAGATTGGGGAGAGCTCCAGACACTTAGAACTGGGCTCTTTAGCAAAGCACTGTCCAGTAGAACTTGCCACTATGATGGGAAAATCTTCTGTCTACTCTGACCACTAGCATGTGTGGCTGTGAGCACTTGAAATGTGGCCATTGCTACTAGGGGGACTGAGTAGTATTCAGTTGTAATTAATTCAATTTGAAAAGCCACATGTGGCTGCTATGGGGCAACTTTTGTACCAAAGAAATGCCCAACCCCAGAGCGCAGGCTCTGTAAGCATATAGCCTTGGGGCCCCAATGCTGGGACGTCAGGTCTGAGGACCTTGGGTGGCAGAGAGATTCTTCCAGCCTGAGACCTTTAGATGCAGAGGTTCTTGGAAACAGAACTTCATAATCACAGACCTTAGAAATTTTAATCCAAAAAAAAGAAATTTTAATCCAGGGCTCCCTGGTGGCGCAGGGAGTTGAGTGCCGCACTGAGGCTGTCCTCAGCCTCTGCAGTGAGGGTTCAATCCCCGCTGGCGGGTGAGAATCCCACATGGTGCAGCAGACCTCTCCTGTCGTGCCTGCTGCTCCCTTCAGCAGTGTATTTCTTCAGTCTGCCTGTTCTGTTCCCCACTTTGTCTCTGGTGAATTCTCTCACCCTCCGGTGCATCTGGCCTGTACTCCGGTTCTTGTATAAATAAATAAATCTTTAAAAAAAAATTTTTAATCCATTTGCCCCTGTGACCTTAGATCCTTAGAAACCCGTACTCTCATACACATATCCTCACAGCTTCATAATACCAGACTTTTCGGATTGCAGATTGGAAATGTAGATCCTGAGTACGTTAAAGTAGAAGAACCAAACCTTCCTCCCTTTAGCACTGATAGCCCATCTTAGGCCTGCTCAGGATGGCGGAGCACTCTCACATTTTAGAACAAAGAAAGCCAAGACCAGTTGCAGTGGTGAAACTTGGCTTGACAGCCCCTGCTCTGCTTTTGAAAGGGCCCATGCAGGGCCTCCCTGTGGCGCAATGGGTTAAGTCTCAGCACTGTGAAGCTATCTGCAGCATGAGTTTGATCCCCGCCCAGGGAGTTGACCCGCATGGCGGAGCAGACCTCTCCTGTCTCCCCTCTGCTCCCCTCAGCA